AATTTTGTCATTCCGTTTGTAACATATCGATATATTCATTCCCGATCCTATACAGTAAATATATTCTTGATCAGGGTAAAATTCTAAGACGATCTAGCCTTGTCCGTCAGTCTGTTGTAATCACACTATCTTCTTAAAGAATTGAGATAGATCGCCAAAATTTTGTATGGAGTCGACTTTTGTCTGCAGGCAGGTCAAGTTCGAAGATGGGCTATATCAGTCCACGTTTAGGATATAGCTCCATATAAGGTTACCGCCCAATTTTTGATATTTTCGGGTTCTTGAGCGCGCTTTTTAACCAAATTCGCATAAATTTGGCCCATTGATTTTTTTTTTGGTACCAAATGTCTCCACTACAAATATCGGTCCACTTTTTCTGGTAGCCCCCATACAACTGTACCCCCAATTTACGGTATTTTGAGGGGTTTAAGCGCGTTTTAAAACCGAATTCCCTGACAATTGGTACAATGGGTTCTTATTGGGTACCAAATTTCTTCACTAAAAATTAGAAATATAGTCCCATTTTTCGGGTAGCCCCGACACACTCAATTTTCGGTATTTTGGGGTTCTTGAGCGTGCTTTTCAACCGAATTCGCGGTAATTTGGTATTTTGTAGTCGCATATGGTAACTAATCTTCTTACCAAAAATTATTAATATTCGCCCCATTTTAGGGGTATTTCCATAGTATGGGGGATAATCGTTGTTCGAAATAGTCTATTTTATCCTACAAATTATGGAGTTCTAAGACGATTTAGCCATCACTTGTAATAATTCCGCTTTCTAAAGAAATCGTGATAAAAAAACTCGAACCTGACGATAATGAAATATATCGGGCAGCATTTAGGCATCTCTCCCATATAATTATACCTCCTGACGGAAAGCATTGAGACACAAAACAAGGTATAGACCTCATATAATTATAACCCCAAATATTCGCTAATTCCTACACTAATCTAACTTTGTCATCTAAATTGCAGTAGTTTGAGGATTTTATATTATACCTTGCGTTATTAGTATCAGTCCACGCTTTGGGGGTTTCATTAAAAATTGCTGAAATTTTTATTTGAAGTACATAATAGTTTACATAAACCGGTTTGAAGCTATACCGGTTTACATGAATCGGTATAGGTTCACTTTTTGGTAGGTTCCCTAAATTTTCATTTCAAGTATCTGTCAGTATACCTATGGTGGAGGGTATCCAAAGTTCGGCCCGGCCGAGCTTAACGCTTTTTCACTTGTTTTTTATCGGTTGAGATTTAAATATGGCTACCATATACGAGAGACCAACATACTAAATTGGGATTATAATTTTTTATGTATTGTTATCAAAATTGCAGAATTTTATGAGCACCGATTTTGTCATTTCCTAACTAATTTATCAGTTTATAACATTTTAATTAAATAACCTTCTCTCTCTCCCTCTTTTTGACTTTTACAGGATTACAGCTCGTTCTTTGCCAAGAATGCCCTGAGTCACCATTACCCCAGCTATAAAGTTCCACCAGGTACCCAACATGTAACCTATTAAGCTGCTAATTTGTAGCTGTAGATGACGGAACCCTCCCAAAGCAACATCAAGAACAACAACATCAAAAACAGGCTAAATGATTACACAATTCTATAGATAGTTAAATTGTTATAACGAAATGTAAAATACTAACCCAACAACAATATGATAAATTAAAAAAAAAACAACATAATAAGAAATTAGTATATAAGCACAATGTATATGCTGGCACTCTAAATGTTATTGTAAAATTATATGATTTCCTCTCAGGTTTGTTTGTTTTTTTAAGGATATGAAAATCTGTATCCTCCCAAGAAAAAAATGGAAATTTTTATTTTTCTACAATATTTATACTGTTATCTCATATACAAAATAAAAAAAAAAAAACAAAAAATATATATAAATATAGAGTTAAGTGTTCCTCAACAATTTCGATGTTAAAAATGAAACTATAAAGCGGACCCTATGTCCCATAGACGATAACAAAAAACCAACTTTGTTAAATTCACAAAACGCATGTAAATGTTCCTCAGCAAAAGTTTTGTAGAATGAGCAATAAAAGGAATTTGTTTTAAATATAAGCCCTCAATTGTTAAACTACTTCCAAATGTAGTTTCAAGTTATAAAAGCAATAATTAACGAAATAAATATCTTAACTAACAATTAATTTATTAACGAACTTTTCAACGTTTTCAGCCGTGTAAGGTGTCCGAAACCAAACAAAAAAAAAAAGAAAAAAAAAAACAACGATTTTAATCAGACCAAATATGAACTTTTGTTCATATTGCCAATGATTTAAGCGATCATTCGACTCGGATCATATTAAGTCACAAGAATATCCTTGATTTTATATGCAATTCAGACAAAAGTATCCCAAAGCACGGTTATATTTGAATTTTGTTTTAATTAATATTATTTTCATTTTATTATTAACTTTTAAACGTAACGTCCTTACGGGACAGAGAGCGAGAGGAACAACAAAAACATATTTTTTGATTCAACACAGTCTACCTTATTAATTTTTGTTATTTTTTTATATAATACAATAGTAAAATACTTAAATAATTTGTAAAAAAATAAATAAAACTACTGAAATAATTGTTGTTCTAATGATTAATTATTAACCCACCCACCTTTTTGAAGAATTACATATTTTTATTCTCTGCTTTCTTTTTGTTATTAATTGTATCTAACTTTTTATGATTGTAAAACAGTTTTGTAAAAATAGCAAACCAAAAAAAATAAATAAATTAAAAAAAACACCGTTAACACGGTATAAATTCTATGTGTTTTATTTAAATCCGATCTTTCTATGACAGTACATTCCAAATTTCTGCAACTCTTCTCCTGCTATCGATTTTCTCCGATGATTTTCACTCTGCACTCTCGAATTACTTCTCCAACTGCATCGGTGTAAATACGACTCAATTCTGCTTGACAATAATGTTCAAGAGGCTCTCATTTAAACATCTGGACCTCTCTCTGTAGATCATATAGATCCTCCCTTCCATCTTAATACTCTAACCATGCCTGCATACTAACTGGAACTTATGGGCCCATTCCAACTAGTATTTTTTCAAGGCCCACTATAGGCGTGGATTTCTAAAAGAATATTTTTTCAAGGCCCACTATAGGCGTGGATTTCTAAAAGAATATTTTTTCAAGGCCCACTATAGGCGTGGATTTCTAAAAGAATATTTTTTCAAGGCCCACTATAGGCGTGGATTTCTAAAAGAATATTTTTTCAAGGCCCACTATAGGGAGCTTTTTATGCTCCTCTATAGGCGTGGATTTTTTAAGAATATTTTTCAAGGCCCACTATAGGGAGCTTTTTATGCTCCTCTATAGGCGTGGATTTTTTAAGAATATTTTTCAAGGCACACTATAGGTAGATGTTTTAAGTGGATTTGTATAAGCCACACTATAGACGTGGAGTTTTTAAATATGTATTTATATTATATTCAAGAACCACTAAATGGCGTGGATTTCTTAAAAAAATATATTTTTTAAGGATACCCGAAAATTTTAGATTTTCTAAAAATATTTTTCCAGGTCCACTATAAACCGTGATTTATTGAAGAATATTTTTTAATACGAACTTTAGGCGTGGATTTTTTTAAAGCTCAATTAAGGTGTGTATTTTTTTTAAAGCCCAATTAAGGCGTGTATTTTTTTAAAGCCCAATTAAGGGGTGAATTTTTTTAAAGCCCAATTAAGGCGTGTATTTTTTTAAAGCCCAATTAAGGCGTCTATTTTTTTAAAGTCCAATTAAGGGGTTAATTTTTTTAAAGCCCAATTAAGGCGTGGATTTTTTTAAAGCCCAAATAAGGCGTGGATTTTTTTAAAGCCCAATTAAGGCGTGGATTTTTTTAAAGCCCAATTAAGGCGTGGATTTTTTTAAAGCCCAATTAAGGCGTGGATTTGTTCAAGATCCACAAGATCTATGATAAATCATATTTTTGGGTTTAAAAATTTATTTATTTCACCACGAGTTTGAACTAAAGAAAAATAAAACAATTTGTATATTGATTTTTGGATGCTTCCTTTAATAATTAACATATAGTTTTTATGCAAATCTCGTATTCATTTCACAGTTCCATATTTATTTGTTCGTTAGTTCTAAACAAGTTAAAAATAATAAACACAGGAATATGCAATAAAAGTGAAATTACAACATTACAACATATTGGCAAATTATTGTTATTCTCACTTTCTGTCTGTTTGTTTTCTTTCTTCCTTTTACTTTAATTTTAAATAAAATCAGTCAATAATATAAGAGGTGCTTTTTTGTTTTACACATTTCCAATTTCAAAATATAAATTATTTATTTAATCTCTTGTATTTTTAACTTTTTTTTTTTTTTGTTCCAGCTTGGTGTTACATGTGGCTCGGAAGCATAACGATTTGAGAAATATTATTAGTTAAATATTGTACAAAGAAATCGAAAATAAAAATATGTATATAAACAATTTCAGTTTAAAACGATTTTGTGTAAAATTATATAAAATTATTTTCAATGTGGCACTTAAGATATGAAATAATTTGAACATTACGCGCAAATGAGTTCGATTGGGGACTGGTCGATCGGTTTGCTGCGGTGGTTGGTTGATTGGTTGTATACATGAATTTCACAAAAGTAAATGCAAAAAATAAAACAATCGATTGGTTTAAATTATTTTTGTTTTATGGGGTTTGCTGAATGAACATTTCATTTTCATTGCAATGTTGTTGGTTCTGGCGAACTAATGATGATATCCGTATGTGACAATATGCATTTATATATTTATGAATTTCGTTATATGTTATGTTATGTCTGCTTGTTATTATGTATTATGTTTTGTTTTAACGATATTAATACAATTAAAACCATGTTTGCTAAATATATTTGCATTAATTTGGGTTAATGTTCATAAAATGTTATGATGTTGCTTAGCTTATAGCTTTAATTTTTTATTATTATTATACATTTACATAAATATCATAAATTTGGTTTTAATGTCCCAAAGACACGGTTTGATCCACATCCATTTTCCGGGAATCTGCTGCCGTTGATTTGTTTTGGTTACTTGATAATTGATCTGCGGATTGAGCATTTGCTACATCCCCTGTTGGGGATGATTTTGTTGCATCTCCTCCATTGTCGCCATCATCGTCATCATCTTCGTCGTCCTCTTCCTCGATTAGTTTACGTGCTAATTTTACGGCTTCAAATTCTTTGTAATGCTCTTTGCGACGTCGTTCAAATTCCAGGCGACGTGCTAAAAACAGAAATGAAAAAAGTATGTTAAGTTCAAGGTTAACATTTATTTATTGGTTAATTCTAAACAAGTTAAAAATAAACTCAGAAATATGCAATCAAAGTGAAATTATAATCTTAGAAGTTTTTCACAATGTATGTGCAAAATTTCAAAGCTCTATTATAAAAATTGCGAATCTATCGAGATTTATACAGACGAACATCGTATTTTATTCTTATCAAGTAGGCGTTGCAAAAAGAATATTAAAATTTTATGTTCACTCCACCTTCCATAAAAACCATCAGTCGATGTTGGCGACCCTCAGATCTATGTTTATACTAAACATATTCTGGAATATATATTATCGAAGTGGGGCACGAAGTGGGGCAAATAAAAACATTATTTTAACAAAAAAAATAAATTTTCAAAATGTTTTGTTATGGATTTGGCCGACAAAAGTATGTAGATAAAGATATTGATGTGATTGCAATATTTCTCTTGAAAAAATGAACAGGTTTACGAATGATAACTGTCCAGTTATGATTAAAATTACAAAAATTAATTAAGTTAATGAGTTCCAATTTTTATACCCTTCACCACACTGTGCAGTGTTGCCAATTTAGCACTTTTAGTGCTAGATTTAGCACTTTTTAAACTCGTTTAGCACCAACAAGATTGATCTAGCACCTAGCACTTTTTTTAGCATTTTTAATTTGTTCCAAGATTTTTTCAAAAATTTTAGTATCATTCCAAAAAAATTGCAGTTTCTCGATTTCACATTGAAGTTTCCGTATGTTTCACATGGTTGATTTGATTTTCCAATGTTTTTTCTAGTGAGCGGAGCAGTATAGTCGCACAGGGCTATCCATATGATACATTACGTAACTACCACAAGCAGAGATGGCCTGTCAGAAACAGTGACGTAAATGACATACATTTCCGACGTATAATACATACGTCAGAAACGTCGGAAACCTACCCAAATCCATTAGGTTTTTGACAAAATAGCCATTTCCATTAATCAATCTGGATATTACGCATGCTTAACCCAAATTAATATAAAATTTCAAAATTTTCTTCTCAAAAAAATTTAGTAATTTTTACCAGTTCTAGCAAGGTATAGTGAGATATATGTAAAAATAATATGTATTCTTGAAAATAACTGTATATGCTGATAATATTGAAATCAATGACGTTTACTACATTTATTACATTTTATACAGGTATATGACGTTTTCGACGTTTACACCTTTTTGACAGTCGAAAACCAAAAAATTCGTCACACGGACCATCCCTGACCACAAGTCTTAAATTTTCTGCGAAACTAATTTCCGTGTCGGTGAAATATCCACCTCCTGGTGTTGTAATAATTATCAGAGTATAACAAGTAAACAACGTTGTGAACGCCGAACTTTTTAACTATATAATAAATTACAGCCAGCTCGATTGGAAAATATGTCCAAAATTCCCAAAATACCGAATATTGGGGGTACCGTTATATGGGGGCTAGAGCAATACTTAGACTGATAACAATAACAAACATCCAATGGGTACTATGAATGTCTGACAGATCATTATCGTTGATTAGATTTCCCGTATTTATTGGTGTTCGGGATATAAAAGTGCATTTAGAAAAAAAATCTTTTTTTGTTTTATTTTATACTGTAAATATCATCCGTTCAAACCGATAGATGTCGCACTTCAACAAAACCGGAACTTTTGTAGCTATAATCTACTGCGGTAATGGTAATACAAAATGCTATTACAATATATAGACCCCTATAAATATTTACGTAAAGCTCCACACCTTCTAGAATCTGCTCTTCTAGAATAAATGTGAAGAGCATGTAATGTAAATTTTGTATTTTTTCAAACAAAAGTCTGGGTCAATTTGACTTGCTCAATATGCTTATTCATTAGCATTTTCCCCATGTACAATTTTGTGACCTCTAGAGAGACCAGAAACAAATATGAAATGCGTTGGTTGACTTCAACAGCCAAACACAATAAGTGTCTTCACTGGCCAGAACCGGATATGAAGAATATCGTGACAATTGTTTCACAGCTATGACCTTTACAAATATTAATGGTCATACGGATAGTCACATACATCTATATCAACTCAGCTATCCGGGATATAACGATCCGTATACCAAAATGTAAGTCCAGGACCAATATTTCGTTACAAACTATTGAAGCACAAACACTTACAATACCCTCACAACATAGCTATTAATTTAAATTTTAAGAAATATAGATCTCATTATAAACAATTATCAATTTTTTTAAATTCATTTTTAGCACTTTTCTAAAATTTTTAGCACTTTTTAGCATATTTTTCAATAAAATCTAGCATTTTTTCTCAATCAAGTTTTGGCAACACTGACACTGTGGTACAGGGTATTATGTCTTTGTGCATATGTTTGTAACAGGCAAAAGGAAACGAGATAGACACATGGTTCCTTTTGAGAATATGCATAGAATCACTTTCTAAGTCGATTTATGCATGTCCGTCCGTCCGTCCGTCCGTCTGTCTGTCCATGTATTTTTGTGAGCAAAGTACAGGTCGCATTTATGATCCGAATTGGATGAAATTTGGCACAGCTCATTTTTTTGGCCCAAGGACGAACCCTATTGAAATTGGGAAAAATCGGTTCAGATTTAGATATAGCTCCCATATATATATATTTAACGGATTTAATGTAAACGGTCCCTATATATCTTTCGATTTGCACGAAATTTGGTACAGCCTAATCATTTAGGTCTAGAATGATGTCTGCCAAGTTTCGTGAAAATCGGTCAAGATTTAGATATAGCTCCCATATATAGTTTCGTCCGATTTCATGTAAATGGTGCACCAAAGTCCCTATATATCTTTCGATTTGCACGAAATTTGGCATAACGTATTGAATTAAGCCTAGAGTGATGTCTGCCAAGTTTCGAGAATATCGGTCCAGATTATATATAGCTCCCATATATAGTTTCGCCCGATTTCATGTAAATGGTGCACCAAAGTCCCTATATATCCTTCGATTTGCACGAAATTTGGCATAACGTACTGAATTGAGCCTAGAGTGATGTCTGCCAAGTTTCGAGAAAATCGGTCCTAATTTAGATATAGCTCCCATATATAGTTTCCTTCGATTTTATGTAAATGGTCCACCAAAATCCCTATGTATCTTTCGATTTGCACGAAATTCGGCATAACGTACTGACTTGAGCCTAGAATGATGTCTGCCAAGTTTCGAGAAAATCGGTCCAGATTTAGATATAGCTCCCATATATAATAGTTTCGTCCGATTTCATGTAAATGGTGCCCCAAAGCCCCTATATATCTTTCGATTTGCACGAAATTTGGCATAACGTACTGAATTGAGCCTAGAATGATGTCTACCGAGTTTCGAGAAAATCGGTCCAGATTTAGATATAGCTCCCATATATAGTTTCGTCCGATTTCATGTAAATGGTGCCCCAAAGTCCCTATATATCTTTCGATTTGCACGAAATTTGGCATAACGTACTGAATTGAGCCTAGAATGATGTCTACCAAGTTTCGAGAAAATCGGTCCAGATTTAGATATAGCTCCCATATATAGTTTCGTCCTATTTCATGTAAATGGTGCACAAAAGTTGCTATATATCTTTCGATTTGCACGAAATTTGGCTTAATGTACTGAATTGAGTCTAGAATGATGTCTGCCAAGTTTCGTGAAAATAGGTCCAGATTTAGATATAACTCCCTTTTATTATAGATTGATTTTAAGTAATTGACGTACTAAGGAACGAATAGGAACAAAACGTTCTGAAATTAACATAACCTAACCTGTGACAAATTTGTTTGAAATCGCTTAATATTTGGATAGAGCTTCCATATATATTTTCGCCCGATTTCAAGTAAATTGGGCATCAAACTCCTCATGTTAGTTAGATTGACATCAAATTTTGCACAACGTACAAAATTAAGCATAGAATTACGTAGTTTCGTTTTCTAGAAGTACAGACATAGCCCAACGGATGACCTATTTATATTTGTTTGAAGTCGATTGACATACTTTTTGGATAGATCTAGGTAGATTAACATTTAGATAAATATCACATATTTTTTTTCATCCAATTTTATGTTAATAGTCCTGTTTAATATACCCATAGTGGTGAAGGGTATCATATAGTCGGCCCCGTCCGACTTTACTACTTTCCTTACTGGTATTTTATAATATCGGCCCATCCAAACGTTTTTATTATACCCTTCACCACACTGTGGTACAGGGTATTATGACTTTGTGCATATGTTTGTAACAGGCAAAAGGATTTAGATATCGCTCCAATATATAGTTTCGTCCGATTTCATGTAAATGGTGCCCCAAAGTCCCTATATATCTTTTGATTTGCACGAAATTCGGTATAACGTGCTGAATTAAGCCTAGAGTGATGTATGCCAAGTTTGAAGAAAATCGGTCCAGATTTAGATATAGCTCTCATATATAGTTTCGTCCGATTTCATGTAAATGGTGCCCCAAAGTCCCTATATATCTTTCGATTTGCACGAAATTTGGTACAGCCTAATCATTTAGGTCTAGAATGATGTCTGCCAAGTTTCGTGAAAATCGGCCCAGATTTAGATATAGCTCCCATATATAGTTTCGTCCGATTTCATGTAAATGGTGCCCCAAAGTCCCTATATATCTTTAGATTTGCACGAAATTTGGTACAGACGAATGATGTCTGCCAAGTTTCGTGAAAATCGGTCCAGATTTAGATATAGCTCCCATATATAGTTTCGTCCGATTTCATGTAAATGGTGCCCAAAGTCCCTATATATCTTTTGATTTGCACGAAATTTGGCATAACGTACTGAATTAAGCCTAGAGTGATGTCTGCCAAGATTGGAGAAAATCGGTCCAGATTTAGATATAGCTCCCATTATAGTTTCGTCCGATTTGATGTAAATGGTCCACCAAAGTCGCTAAATATCTTTCGATTTGCACGAATTTTGGCATAACGTACTGAATTGAGTCTAGAATGATGTCTGCCAAGTTTCGTGAAAATAGGTCAAGATTTAGATATAGCTCCCATATATAGTTTCGTCCGATTTCATGTAAATGGTGCACCAAAGTCCCTATATATCCTTCGATTTGCACGAAATTTGGCATAACGTACTTAATTGAGCCTAGAATGATGTCTGCCAAGTTTCGTGAAAATCGGTCCAGATTTAGATATAGCTCCCTTTTATTATAGATTGATTTTAAGTAATTGACGTACTAAGGAACCAATAGGAACAAAACGTTCTGAAATTAGTATAACCTAACCTGTGACAAGTTTGTTTGAAATCGTTTAATATTTGGATAGAGCTTCCATATATATTTTCGACCGATTTGAAGTAAATTGGACATCAAACTCCTCAAGTTAGTCAGATTGACATCAAATTTTGTACTACGTACAAAATTGAGCATTGAATTACGTAGTTGCGTTTTCTAGAAGTACAGACATAGCCCAACGGATGACCTATTTATATTTGTTTGAAGTCGATTTTCATTCTTTATGGATAGATCTTGGTAGATTCACAATTAGATAAATAATACATATTTTATTTCATCCAATTTCATGTTAATAGTCCTGTTTAATATACCCATAGTGGTGAAGGGTATCATATAGTCGGCCCCGTCCGACTTTACTACTTTCCTTACTGGTTTTAAATGGACAAACATATTTTTGTATATGGACAAACATACTCAGACAAACATACTTATTTTGAGGTAGGCAAATTGATGACATTTCTAGTAGTCTTGATTACTTCAATAATTTCAAGAGCACTTTGAAACTGAAATTCATGTTAGTTTGAGGTATATTAGCTTTCGAGACCGAGGTAGTGAAACTAAAATTAGTCTATAGCATACATATTCAAATACAATCGAAAGAAGCAATAATTCTCATATTATTACCATCAGAAAGATACACTAAGTGATATCTTGAAAATCGATCTTTATGAAACTGAATAAAATGTATTTTTTTTTTGTATTTTTTTGAAAAAAGTAATCTTTTATTTAAAAAAAGTACTTTTTTGGTACCTTTTCACATTCTTATTTTCCATCCCTGATATACACTGGTGGCCAAAACTAAAGCAACTAAAATAGCAAACTGAATAAATGTAACTTTTTAATAGAAGCTAATTTATTCATTTTTAAAACCAGTAAGGAAAGTAGAAAAGTCGGACGGGGCTGACTATATGATACCCTTCACCACTATGTGTATATTAAACAGATACATCCTACCAGATGAGCCATTAAAATGACCTTTACCTAAATGTGAACTGACTGAATCCATAAACATGTCATTGTCATTCGTTTGTCACAATGGGACAAAATTACGATAAAATCGATTTATTAACACGAACTCGATCGGAAATATATATGGTCTATATCTGAACTTCTACAAAATTTAATTACGTCCTTCTATGCTCAATTGTATAGTTTGTTCTAAATTTCATGTCAATATTAAAAACATGAGGGGAGTTTGCTGCATCATTTACTTAAAATCGGATGAAAATAGTTTTCAAGCTATATTTAAACCTGAACCGATTTTCAAGAAATGTTAAACACATCTTTCTAGACTCAATTCAGTGCGCTATGCCAAATTTCGTGCAAATCGAAAGATATATAGGAACTTTGGTGCACCATTTACATTAAATCGGACGAAAATAGAATGGAAGCTATATTTAAATCTGAACCGATTTTCAAGAAATGTTACACACATCATTCTAGACTCAATTCTGTACGCTATGCCAAATTTCGTGCAAATCGAAAGATATATAGGTACTTTGGTGCACCATTTAGATAAAATCGGACGAAAATAGAGTGGAAGCTATATTTAAATCTGAACCGATTTTTAATAAATGTTACACACATCATTCTAGACTCAATTCTGTATGCTATGCCAAATTTCGTGCAAATCGAATGATATATAGGTACTTTGGTGCACCATTTTCATAAAATCGGACAAAACTATATATGGTAGTTATATCTAAATCTGAACAGATTTTCGCGAAACTCAACACAAATCATTATGCACTTAATGCAGTACGCTGTGCCAAATTTTGTGCAAATCAAAAGATATACAGGGACTTTGGTACACCATTTACCTAAAATCGGACAAGAATATATAAGGGAGCTATATCTAAATCTGAACCGATTTTCACGAAACTTAGCACACATCATTCTACACACAATTCAGTACCCTATGCAAATTTCGTGCAAATCGAACGATATATAGGGGCATTGGTGCACCATTTACATTAAATCGGACGAAAATAGAATGGAAGCTATATTTAAATCTGAACCGATTTTTAAGAAATGTTACACACATCATTCTAGACTCTATTCTGTATGATATGCCAAATTTCGTGCAAATCGAAAGATATATAGGTACTTTGGTGCACCATTTTCATAAAATCGGACAAAACTATATATGGTAGTTATATCTAAATCTGAACAGAGTTTCGCGAAACTCAACACAAATCATTATGCACTTAATGCAGTACGCTGTGCCAAATTTTGTACAAATCAAAAGATATACAGGGACTTTGGTACACCATTTAATTAAAATCGGACAAGAATATATAAGGAAGCTATATCTAAATCTGAACCGATTTTCACGAAACTTAGCACACATCATTCTACACACAATTCAGTACCCTATGCAAATTTCGTGCAAATCGAAAGATATATAGGGGCATTGGTGCACCATTTACATTAAATCGGACGAAAATAGAATGGAAGCTATATTTAAATCTGAACCGATTTTTAAGAAATGTTACACACATCATTCTAGACTCTATTCTGTATGATATGCCAAATTTCGTGCAAATCGAAAGATATATAGGTACTTTGGTGCACCATTTTCATAAAATCGGACAAAACTATATATGGTAGTTATATCTAAATCTGAACAGAGTTTCGCGAAACTCAACACAAATCATTATGCACTTAATGCAGTACACTGTGCCAAATTTTGTGCAAATCAAAAGATATACAGGGACTTTGGTACACCATTTAATTAAAATCGGACAAGAATATATAAGGAAGCTATATCTAAATCTGAACCGATTTTCCCCAATTTCAATAGGGTTCATCCTTGGGCCAAACAGTTCATTACCAAATTTCATCCAAAGTATATAAATGTACTTTGTTTACAATTTAACGCCAACAGTCGGACGGACATGCATAAATGGACTCAGAAAGTGATTTTATGCGTATTCTCAAAGGGATCCATGTGTCTATCTCGTTTTCTTTTGCTTGTTACAAACATATGCACCAAGACATAATACCCTGTACCACTGTGTGGTGAAGATTATAAAAAATGAGAAGGAGAATATGTTTTACACACATGGTCCTCATTCTGCAGATTGCAGACATGTAAAATAACCTGCAATGGCCGCAAAGTTATAAAGTTTTTTTTTTTTTTGTAAAATTTCAAGTTACCAGCAAAAAATCATCACGACATAACTCAAAAACTTGACCTATGATGAATTTGCTCTTCTGATTGATTTTGTTCAATAGTGTGATAAGACTTAAACGCCGAAATAACGATGGTCATGTTTTGTGTTCTCGTGACGTCAAAATGATATAACAATTGTTCCTCTAAACATACCTTTTTCTTCTGGCGTCTCTTCAAATTCTTCATCTGATAGTTCATCTTCATCATCAAAGGAAGGCGTTTGAGTATTGGCAGCAATGCGTAATCTAAAAATTGAATAACAAAAAACAATATTCAAATAACAACAACATCAATAATCACACAAATCATACTTTTCAGCTAATAATTCTGCATCCAATTGATCACGTTCCGGATCGGGTTCACTGTAGGTGTATGGTGTTTTTGGCTCATCGATTTTCATATGACCATAATCTTTGTCAGCTGGATGAAATGTTTGCAGCACGTTGAGTTCATCGAATTTAGCACTTTTACGGCTACTATGTAAGAAATACAAACAAACAATAGTTGCAGAAGATTTATGTAAACAAAATCAAAATAGACAATGACGTGTAAAAATAAAAATGATATATATATATATATAGAATATATCATTATTTGATTAGCTGCCATTCAAAATTATCACATATTATTGCTAATTTGTTATCTGTACTACATTTTGATGGCCATTAAAGATAAGGGAAAATAGTTACAGACATTATTTTGAAATTATCATGATGGAATGAAAAAGAGGAAATTATATTTTGGTACTTAATACAATTTGCTTTGAAAACTACTATATTCATTAAAATTACATTCACAAAAATATACGGAACTCACCTTGCACCTGTACGATCAAAACTGCTTGATGTCTTTAAAATACCTTTTTTGGGTCGTTTATTACTACCGCTTGGACCACTGCTGCCAACTGATTCCGCGGCATTACTTCCATTCGAAACACTCTGCATTATTGTCCAACTACAGATACCACTTCCACTCTACACTTTCAAATGTAATACCAGTTTGAAATCTCCACAATAATTCGGATGATTGAGCACAGTGTTTATATTGTCCGTAATTGACAAATGATAGGTATTGCACACTACTGCGAGCTATAAATGAACAAATGAACAAAAAACTAATATTAGATTAAAAAAAGTTGAGTGCAGTAGTTATGATAAAATTTACTACAAATTAAATTCCTATGAAAAATTACATAATAACGCAGAATGTGCTAAAGATTATTTTCTTTTAATATTTTTATCATTGAATTTGAAACATTATTTATTCGTTTTCGTTATTTGGGGTTAAATTAAGGCAATTAAAAAACTCCAAGCTCCATTACTTTGGTAGTTTTTGTGGGATGTTAATTCTCTCAGTTCATATCTGATCCTCGACATACTTCAATACAGACACCTTTACCAAGATCCACTGCATGGGCATCGCAAATGGACATGATTTTTATACCCTTCACCACAATGTGGTACAAGGTATTATGTCTTTGTGCATATTTTTATACCCTTCACCACACTGTGGTGCAGGGTATTATGTCTTTGTGCATATGTTTGTAACAGGCAAAAGGAAACGAGATAGACACATGGTTCCTTTTGAGAATATGCATAGAATCACTTTCTGAGTCGATTTATGCATGTCCGTCCGTCCGTCTGTCCGTCCGTCTGTAGATGTTAAATTGTAAACAAAGTACAGGTCGCATTTATAATCCGATTTGAATAAAATTTGGCACAAGTCACTTATTTAGCCCAAGGACGAACCCTATTGAAATTGGGAAAAATCGGTTCAGATTTAGATATAGCTCCCATATATATTTTCGTCCGATTTAAGGTAAATGGGTCACCAAAGTCCCTCTATATCTTTCGATTTGCATGAAATTTAGTACAGAGTACTGAATTAGGTCCAGAATGATGTGTGCCAAGTTTCAAGAAAATCGGTTCAGATTTAGATATAGCTCCCATATATAGTTTCGTCCGATTTAAGGTAGCTCCCATATATATTTTCATCCGATTTAATATAATTGGATTACCAAAGTCCCTATATATCTTTCGATTTGCACGAAATTCGGCATAGTGTATTGAAATAGATCTATCTGAAAATCGGTTTATTTTTTATATAGCTCCCATATATATTTTCCTCCGATTTGATGCATATGGTGCACCAAAGTCAATGTATATCTTTCGATTTGCACGAAATTTGGCATAGCGTAATGAATTAAGTCTATAATGATGTGTGTTAAGTTTTGTGAAAATCGGGTGTTCGTTTGATATTTGCTTAAAATTGATTTTCATAATTTTGTCCCATTTTAATAAGCAATCCTATATCTGACCAAATGAAAAATAAAGAATGGGTTACAGAATGACATATTAATGGTACTTCAGAAATGCGACGTCTGTTAGGATTCATCTCTGCTGAATATACCCAAAGTGGCATATAGTCGGCCCCGTCCGACTTTTCCTTACTGGTTATAACAGGCAAAAGGAATCGAGATATACGGGAGGTATAGACTCATGGTTCCTTTTGAGAATATGCATAAAATCACTTTCTGAGTCGATTTATACATGCCCGTCCGTCTGTTGATGTTATTGTAAACAAAGTACAGATCGAATTTACAATCCAATTTGGATGAAATTTGCTAAAGCTCATTTATTTGACCTAAGGACGAACACTATTGAAATTGGTGAAAATCGATTCAGATTTGGATATAGCTCTCATATACAGTGGCTCCATCGAATAATCGGACAAGTGGTTGTCAGATATAATAATGCTATACATTTCAAAAAAATTGTCTAAATGTGTAGTTTTTTCGCTTTTATTTCCACATTACTTACTTAGATTTCTGAACATTACAAAAAACAACAACTTTTCGAGTGATAACAGTAAATTTCGTCAGAAAAATAAAATTAACTCAATTTATTGTGTTCAACGCAAAATCGGACAAAGCAAAGTGTCAATGTTAAAAAATGAAAAAATCGAGAAATTAATATTTAGTTGCATATCCTTTGTTGTCCAGAACGGCCTGTAAACGCTTCGGTATTAATTTGACCAAATTCTGGCATACCTCCGGCTCTATGGAGTTCCACGATTCCAGTAAAGCCACCTTAAGCTGTACTAAGGAGTTAAATTTTTTTCCATACACTCTCCTAGCTAATTCTTCCCAAAGATGCTCAATTACGTTAAGGTCTGGGCTCTGTGCTGGTGTTTGTATAAGTTTTGGGCAGTTATGGATCAACCAAAAATTTGCAACACCTGATGTGTGCTTGGGATCGTTGTCTTTATAAAAGGCAAAGTTGTTCGCGATACCCAATTTGTCTGCACTTTGCTTTACATTTTGTTTTAAAATGTTGAGGTAGACAAAATCGTCCATTTTACCATCAATAAAATGCAAATTACCTACTCCCGCACTCGACATGCAGCCCCAAACCATAACAGAATCTCCTCCGTGCTTAACAGTGGCTTTTGTATTCTTATGATTAAATTCAATATTTGGTTTACGCCACACATACATCTTTCCCTCTGACCCGTGCAAGTTAAATATGCTTTCGTCAGTAAACAGAACCTTAATATAATGAAAACTATCAATAGAAATGTATTTTAAGATGATCTATCATCAAATTACCTGCTTCCAAAAATATTCTGGTTTTAGTAAATACTCCTTTTGTCCGATTATGCGATGGAGCCACTGTATATTTTCGTCCGATTTAATGTAAATGATGCACCAAAGCTCCTATATATCGTTCGACTTTCACGAATTTTGGCATAGCGTACTGAAGTTTCATGAAAATCTGTTAAGATTTACATATACCATACCTCCTACTGGGGTGGCGTAGGGGATGAACCCCAGGCTTATCTTGGTCCCTCTTTCATCTCAATTGTTGACACTGACCTCCCCGCGGTGCCACCTGGGGAGCTATTTTCATCACCCGATGAAATAGTAAGCTAATATGTGCCGCGAGTTCACCCATAAGAACTATAAAAAAAATGGGTTGAGGCGACGGGTTAGTTGCCCACTCTCGGAAAACCCCTCCTACTATGAAAAAGCAAAGAAAATGAAAACCAAACCCCCCTAATGTTGACGGCCCCCGCAAACGTATAAAGGACCACAATCTGCAAATCTGCACTTGGAATGTGCGCACGTTGTACAGAATAGGCGCAGTGTTCGCTTTGGCGGATGTACTCAAGAGGTACAAAGCCGATATTATTGCCTTACAGGAAATGCGATGGAATGGGACTAGCGCAAGTAAATCAGATGATTAAGCCCTGTATTATAGCTGCCATGAAACGAGACATGAATTTGGCTGTGGATTTGTGGTTAACAGGAGAATAAAAGACCTCGTCTCCAGATTCAATCCAGTAGATGAGCGAATTGGTACAGTCCGTATAAAAGCGAAGTTCTTCTACATCAGTCTCATTTGCGCCCATGCTCCGACCGAAGATAAAGGTGAAAAGACCAAAGACATATTTTACGAAACAGCATATGATCGTTGCCCTGGCCATAACATTAAAATTCTGCTAGGAGATTTTAATGCCAAAGTCGGAAGGGAAAATATATTTGGCCCCACCGACGGAAAATTCAGCCTGCATAAAGAAACATCAGACAACGGCATGAGTTTTATTGACTTCGCGGCAGCAAAAAACTTGGTATTTAGCAGCACCAAACCGAAGGCTTTGGTGCAGGTACATCATCCTGTAGAGATAAAGAAGAAAACCTGGGGGGTTACTCTGTATTGCGTTGCGAAAGCCAGTGCGATGCGAAAGCTAAATGCGTTAAGAGTGCAATTTGGTACTTTGTATCGTTCACGCAAACGCATTCGCAAAATAAATCGAAAATAGGGCAACACTGGCACCACAAAGTAAACAATAACGAAGGACGACAAAAGGAAACGTCAAAAAATTGTAAATAAAAACATATTTTTATGTGGTACGAGTGTTTTTTTAAAAAACAAAAATGATGAACCAACTAAAAAAAAAATTTTAAGAGATCGATCAAATATACTCTACCTAAGTGAACACGGGTATGAAAATAGAAGTACGAATAATGTGACAAACGTTTTCAAATATTTAATTTTTATAAATTTTTACAAAATTTTCGTCTCAATAAAGATGCGTTTATGTTTTTAATAAACGCTATTAATGACCTCGTCGTTCCAAATAGATCCACAGCAATTCCAACTCCAATAAAAGTGGCCACTGCTTTGAAATTGCTTGGACAAGGTGGTTATTAACACCAACCTGTAAATATGCACACATAGTTTCACATTTTATATATAAAATATTACTTTTTTCCAACCAGCGACATCTCTTACAGGAGGTCCATCTGAATTAAGGTCATCATCCAGTTTTCTCTACAAATTTTTGGCGCGTCGTTTCGCATTTGAACTCTGCAACTGGCCCCTTGCCAAATCGCTGTGTTGCAGCATAAAATCTACTAAAGTTTGGAACTGACGGTGCTGAGTCGTAAACTGTAACTTTTTTTGGCTTTCACCCAAAATAATTATCAATTTAGATATAAATAAAAACTTTAATTGTGCTTACTTACATGTTTTGCTTCATTTGCGTTTGCTATTTTGTTAACGCAAGATATTTGCGTTTAACGAACGAGTTTGACATGCGTTTTCGTATTACAGATTGTGGTGATGCCACATTTGCGTAAAGTAGATGCGAAAGGAGATACGAAAACGAATTAGAGAGTACCAATTACGCGATGCGATACAATTTTTCTTACGCATCGCAATACAGAGTAACCCCCCTGGTGACAGATACAGACAGCGTGCTGAGGATCTGGAAGGAGTATTTTGAAAAACTTCTGGTATCAAATAATAGCAGTGAAGTGAATACCCCAGAACCAATAAAAGATTACGGTATAGAGTGTAACCACCTAGCCAAGATGAAGTCAGAATTGCAATCAATCGGCTGAAGAATAATAAAGCAGCAGGTGTCGATGGGTTACAAGCCCAACTATTAAAGACTGGTTATCAGATGCTGGTAAGGAGCATGCACCAGCTGATTAGTACAATTTGGCTAGAAGAATGCATGCCCAATGAATAGAACCTCAGCATCCTGTGTTCTGTGCACAAAAAAGGAGACAAGACGATATGTGCCAACTATAGAGGAATAAGTCTCCTTCCCATCGCATATAAAGTGCTATCCAGTGTGCTGTGTGAACGACTGAAGCCAATGGTCAATGACATTATTGGACCATACCAATGCTGCTTCAGACCTGGCAAATCCACCATTGACCAGATTTTCACTCAGCACCAAATCCTGGAAAAAACCCTCGAAAAACACATCGACACATTCCATCTATTCGTCGACAGACTTATCCGTTCAGAGGTGTATAAAGCCATGTCTGCGTTTGGCATTCCTGCAAAATTAATTCGGCTTTGCAGGATAACTTTAACATGCACAAGATCAGTAGTTAAAGTCGGAAAGGACCTCTCGGAGCCCCTTAATACCGAATGAGGATTCAGACAAGGTGATAGTTTGTAGTGTGACCTTTTTAACATCCTGCTGGAAAAGGTCATACGAGAGGCAAAAGTGAACAGAAATGACACTCTTACACCAAACAACACATGTTACTCGCCTACGCCGATGACATCGACATAATGGGTCAAACATTGTGAGCGGTAACAGCCATCTTTGAACAAATTGAGAAGGAGTCTGCCAAAGTGAGTCTGGCAGTAAACGGCGAGAAGACCAAGCTGATGGTTTCAACGCGCAAGACGTCCACTAGACTCGGACCAACTGTGGAACTTGAGAACTACAGCTTCGAGTTAGTCAGAGATTTTATATACCTTCCTACCACCATAAATAAAACGAATGACATCAGTTTTGGAATTCGGAGAAGGATTGTGATGGCCAACGATGCTACTATGGTCTGAGCAAACAACTCAAACGCAAGGCCACCTCCCCTCCAGATTTTTTCTACAAATGTGTTGAAAAACGCTCTGGTTCCCTTCGCAGAAGAAAATATACCGCTTGTTTGGGTGTTTCAGCTTAAAAATAACCTCAAACATACACCGAAACATATCAAAGTATATTTGCAGAAGTCAAAAATCAGGAATTTATAATGATAAATACAATCTTCCGTCCTTTGGAAAAATTTTTGGAGTATAAAATATAGCAAAATCAAAACAAATTAAGAAACAAGCATCTTATAGATTCAATTCCTCCTAGGTGTGCTGTCGTAATCAAAAATAATCGATTACTAGCCAAATATACTTATTTAAAAGAAAAAATAAAAAATTTGCTTTAGTTTTGACCAAGCAAAAATTGGGTCTATTTAGTTTTCCATAGAATATTTGATATTTCAAAATAAATTTTGTGTTTATCAGGGATTTGTAATGGCTAACACCATTATCAGATCTTCGTCCTATGGAAAATGTTTCGAGTATCAAAGATAGCAAAAAAACAAAACAAATTCAGAAACGAAAATAACCTCTTCCCAAATCTTCAGGATGCGAGGAATAGTATATCCAAGGATCAAATTGAGTGTTTTATAGACTCAATTCCTCGTAGGTGTGCAGCCGTAATCAAAAATAATGGTTACGATGTCGAAAAAAAAATTAAAAATTTGCATTAGTTTTGACCAAGCAAAAATTGGGTCAATTTAGTTTTCCATGGAATATTTATTATTTTATTTCTAAATAAATTTGGTGTTTATAATAAATTACCTATTTATTACTGAAAAAATAGGCTTTTTGCAACTTCCAGTTTTGTGAGTTCATGATACCTATTTTTTCTTCAAGGATTGATTTTTTGCGGATTTTTGTTCATGATAGAAGGAAATGAAAAGAGAAATTATTTACGGATTTGGTATTCATGGTTGGGCTGATAAACTTCGGTCATCGTTCTCTGACACTAGATTTTCATTTAAGACAGTATAACTGGTAACTCTAAGTGAAATCGTGGAAGATGAGGAAAGTAACATGTCCTTGCTTCTATCTCCAGGTCTTGTGCGCCCTTTTCAAACATAATATTTTCCACAAATTATTTTCAGACAATAAAATAGATTTGTATGTCTTTATAACAACATCGTTTTTAACACTAGATTGCCGAAGGCAGTCATTTTGACCCTTTTTCAATTTCAAGTACAAAAATAATTGTGTATATTATGACCCAGCTTTTTAAAATTTGGTGACTTTTTGTACCACATAGAACTACGTTTATTAATCATACTAGCTGCTTCCTCCCCTCTTTCATTCCCCGTATTCACATGTGCTATACCTTTATTGCCTAAAAGCGGTCATTTTGACCTTTTGTGAAATATTAAATAATCAAACTACTTTTATTATTGTATAAAGTAAAGTTCTTATACGACCAGATCAGTACACCAACATCGAAACCCCTTTGCTACTCTAGAAATACAACGAACACACAAATCGGGAAAAATAAATTTTATATTTCCAGTCGATATCACTCTTAGAGTAAAGACTTCCTCTTTTTCGAACATTTTGTCCGCGCTCTTATTTTTTATAAGGGGAAACTCGAGAGCCCTACCACCGAAAACAAATAATAACAACGTTTTGTATGATTGTAGATAATGTAAAAAATATTAAAAAAATAGTTAAAAAAATTTCTTTACACAATAAAAATTCTTTCCGAATGAGGTCATTTTGACCGATTTTAGGCAATATAGGTATATACAAAATTCCCGTCTTTCTAGTGTTAACGTTATCCAAAAGTCCCGAGGAAAGCTCAGCCTTTTCTTTGATATCTTTTATAACGACTATCACGTATAGCGATTAATATCTCCGATTCCTTGACGGTTATAAACGATTTCGCCAGTAACAGTCATTGTAACAAAAAATCAAAATTTTCAATGCCCCCTCCCTCTATGCAAAAAAAAGAATGATTATTAATTTTATTGGTGTATATATAGGTATTTAGTATTTTTATTGTTTTACTTTTAATGTATTATTTTATATTAATAATAAAAACTATAACAAACGAATTGATATTTCATATATAGGAATAATAAAATGAAGAAATAAATATGTTTATTGTTTTTGTTTTTTGCTCAACACAATTAGTACTATCTTTTTATATTAATATATATTGGAACAAATACATTGTATTGTTTACTTTTCACAAAATTTATTTTCGTTATACATTAGAATATTCTTAAATATTTAAACACACATTAAAAAAAAAAAAAACGCTCTAATTATTTTTTAATGATATAAAAAATACATTGGTTTGTTATCTGTATACATGGTTATGGTTATGGGAAGGAATGAAATTATTTCGAGTTTGGAACATGGCATAGAGTTAAGGTGTACATCACAAGTTACTACATATTGCAGAAAATATGACGGAGAATTGAAAGATGGAAAAGGAAAAACAATTTGCATCTTACCAAACAAAATCAAAAAAGAAAAACGTTTACATTAACAGGGATAACAGTATTTAGAAATTGTTATATTTGGAATTTGATAAAAATTGTTTGATTTAAACGAAATCCTATAAATTGTTGCATCCAATAATTCTCACTCACATCATTGCTTTGTAACTACTTGAAACGGATGGCAAATTGCTGTTGTTTTTTTATGAAAATTCTGTATACATTTTGTATATATATCTATATTTTATATAACTTAGAAATAATCGTAATACATAATTTGATTAGTGATTTATAATATATTTATATATTTTCCATGTTTTTTTTGGTTAAAAGCTAATAAAAAAATTCCAACTACTTGACATTGCTACATTGTTTCTGTTTTCTTTTTTTCGTCTTGCATTTTCAACTGTGCGTATTAGGTATTAATATTCTGTATGCTGAGCTGCTTTTTAGTTATATGTGAAGTTATATAAAACTATATACATAAACAAAAATTTTCTCATATTTTTTTGGAATTCAAATGCGTGTGATAGAAAAAAATCAATTTTTTAATTTGGCACATATTCTGATTTTACGTATATTGTGTTCATGTTGCAAATATTTTGCATATACACATATTAGGGTATGAAGAGTTTACTAAATTATTACTTTTATTTTATTTGTGTATATACTGTTGATTAAGCAGGTAAATTTGAGTTAACTCTAGATTTTTGATACCTTTTCGGAGAATAATAGGGTGGTACATCGAAATAATTCAGTAAAGTATCTGCACTTTATATAAGTTATTATTGGGGATAAAATGATTTTTATTCGGTAGAGGTTCAGACACAAAACTGTTCTTGTTTCACTATTCTATCCAGCAGGGAGAGTCTATACGATATCCTACACAATTTCGATATTTGCAAAAGTGGGATTTTAGATTCACCTTTTAGCTCAGAATAATTCTTTACGAGTAGCCATCTGCAATTATCAGCAAAAACCTTAGACATCTGATTTACATGAAACTAATTTTGAACCGATTCTTGACATTTATATATATATATTCAAGTGAAAAGGGATCAAGTAAAAATAAAAAATAGATCCCTTTATGTGAAAATTTGAAATATAATCCTCAGAAATTTTCTAAAAAATTATAATAAATCTTCCACAGAGATCCTTTACACCACCCTAATATTCACATAAAATAATATTATCTCTCTAAATAATATACATAAACCAAAAAAACAAAGAAAAAAATCATAATTACAAATAGTTAGGAATTATGGATATTTATACAGTTGTGACGGATATCATATTGCTATTAAGATTATTGCGATCTGTAGATATTGCAGAATTTACGGCCACTGTTGCTGACATATTGGTGGTAACAAGATCAGTTTGTTCTATGCCTGCTGCAGTTGCAGCAACACCACCACCCCCACCGACACCAGTGGCACTATCTTCATGCAACATATTGGAAGGTTGTGAAGAATAATTAAGAGATGATTTATGTTTTTGGGCCGCCGCTTCCGCTTGGGCCGTATTAAATTGCAACTGATAATGTTGACGATATTTTTGACGGGAAAAGCTTAAGAAATGAGCTTGATTTTCTGGTGCTGTAGCTGTGACGTCTTGTGTTTTATTCATTTGTTGTTGCTGCTGTTGCAATTGTTGCTGATATTGCAACTGTTGCTGTTGGCGGCGTTCTTTGGCCTTTTCAATGTGTTTCTTACGCTCTTCTCTTGTCCAATAACGACCCGTCTTTATTTCAGACATTGTATCATCTTCTGTCGTTGTAACATCATCCCTCAAACGTTCCACATTGAGGCGAACGTTACGTTCTTTGATGACACGAGTTTTGGCCGGACGCCTTACTATATAACGTGTGCCGTCAGGTCGTCGTTTGACTTTCCACACCATGGCTTCTTCTTCGCCATCTTTTTTCACATTATTGCCGTTGCCATTAGCCGTTGTGGTTTCAGCTACTGTGGGGGAAGACTTTGGTATCTTATTGTTAAGCGATAAATTGTTTACCTCTTGACTGCTAACGAAGTGGTATTGACTTAAATTGGGCGCCGTAAACTGAGGACAGTGCACCTGATCACTACTATTCGCTGCCAATTGATGTTGATAATATGACAATTGCTGAGGAGTAGCAGCAGTCATCTTATCCAGGTTCAATGGTGTTTGTTTGATTAAATGCTGTTGCATCATTGTACTTCGTTGCATATTGACTGTGTCATTGTTATTATACATAATGCCAACACCACCACCACCAGTGGGTTTGCCACTTATGCCAATGTTTTGGTCTACCAAAGGAAGTTTGTTGGCACTTTTTGGACTTGTTATTTTATTTTTTCCTTGTGGTGACAACACCTTGTGTTGGCTGGCTAGCTTGTGCTGTTGCATTAATATTTGTTGCATTGCCAGAACATCATCTGTAGATGAGGTTCCAGCCAACGATGATATTCCGCCACCACCTGTTGTATTAGTGTAAGTTTCAGGGCCACGAAGTTTGCTGGTCAACACTACAGAATGGGGAGATACACTGTTATTGGAGCCACCGGTATTGTATGCACTTGACGAATTGTCCTGATCATCAACTTGAGAAGCTGGTAATGTCATTGCGGAACCAATACCTCCATCCAACGACGATCCATTAGTAAGCGAGGTCAATGTGCTGCGCATTGTACCCATTGAACTAATTTTATGGCGGCTTCTTAAACTCCGTCCACCACCACTGGTGTTGCGTACCGTGTGCCGCGGCAGTGCTGTATGACAAATACCATGGGAGGGATTAATGCCCAACCATTGGACCACACGCTGCTTATGTTGTTGCATTTGATGTTGCAAGGCATCGGTCACGGTTGAGGAGGAACATGAGGCTATGGCAGTGACATACACCGAGCTGTCATAGGGCGAGCAGTAAAACGGTTCGGATTCGGGATCTTCGGGAATAGTTTCGTAGATGTGTTCGGATTCATAATAATCACTTGTTTTGTTTTCGGCTGCGTTACGCGTCGAAGACGATATAGATTTCGTGGCAGTGTCCATATTTGAAACTACAGTTGTGGCAGTGGCTGTGAGATTTGTTGTGTTGCTGTTGTGTCTCGAAACACTAGTGGCTTTCTTATCGATTTTGGTGTTTTTAGGTTTTTCTTTAGTCATGTTAGTGGCAGTTGTATCCATCACCGCATCACCGATTGGCTCCTGCTGCTGTTGTTGCTCCACCTGGGACATTAAAGCCTTGTCGAAATCATCCACATTGTTAAGGCAGCAATCGTTACTGGTCATACAGTTGACATATGTCATATTATTCTCATCGTAATACTCCTCATCGTCATCATCTATATCATCCTCCACAACCAATACCTCGTCGTCATCCTCATTCGTAGATGGGTCATTGAAATCATCTTCCCCATACAAATACCGACTGACTAACAGTGTCACGGCATTGTTGTTCTCCGCTATTAATGTTTCCGTTTCTTCTCGGGTGGTTATGTCTTTGCCATTTATTTGCAGAATCTGGTCACCCTGTCGCAGACGGCCATCTCGACCGGCGACACTATCAGCGTGTATGTCACTTATATACACTTCAGTGACACTAGGTCCTACTCCATATACTTCATTGCCACTACCACCACTTCCTGCACCACCGTCCACTCCACTTTCTCCATACTCTTCGCCGTTGCTGTAGCAAACCGTAAGTCCCAACCGTTCATGGCTGTGGGTCTTGCGCAACGTAATTTCCTCGATGTCTATTTCCGGCGCCAAACTTTGCTCAAACAAATTATGTTCCTCTTCTATGAGGCGTTCTGTGTCCTTTTGGATGTTACGTAATTGTTCATGGACATAGTAGGCCATGTCATCGGTTTGGGTCGACTTTGATTGGCCACATACTTCGTCCGATTCCGTAGTTGGTAGATATAAATTCACTATAATTTCCATTGGTGGCCTCTGCCCCGTCGACGATTCATCCTGATTTGCATTAGTATTTTTCGAAGGTGTTCGTGCTGCCCCCTCAACATTTGTTGCAGGCGATTCATCACTGCTGGCATTCGATTGTAACTTCAGATAGCAAATTCTTTTACTTATCTCCGTCTCTTCGTTGTCACCGACTGGCGTCGACTTATTGTTCCAATAGTCCGCTTTGCGTTTTAATTGCAAAATAACATTTTCATCTGCGTTCTCCGTGAATAGTCGACTCAGTGCCGCAAAGTCTCTCTGCTCCTGTTGCAGTTGGCAAATATCTGTGTCATTTATTTTCAATAGAACAAAATTTAGATTGGCCGTCATCATCATCATCGTTCCACTACTCCTCCTGCTGCTGGTTCCCTACACCGACGACGACGACACACTTGTACGTGTGTGTGTGCGTTTCACAGATCAGATACCTGGCCAATACTAAAAAATCCTCCAAACTTTCTGTAGATGATTACAGACTTCGACTTCTTTTTATCGGCACATCTACAAAATATCCATTTTGCTTTTGTATTTTATTTGTTGTTATTTTATTTTCTTTCACTGGCTTTTGCAGCGTTTTTCACAATTTCCCAATTTCTCAACTTGGACGGATATGATAAATGTTCTATCGAAATAAATCTACACAAAAAACTTTTGATGTTGCCATTCGGAATTTTTTCGTCTTCAGATTTTTCTCCTAGTCGTACTTGGGTATGTATGTGTGTGTGCGTATGTTCGTTCACGAATGAAACAAAGAAAATAAAAGGAAGATACAGAGTTGCCATCATCGACAGAGACAACAATGAAAGTAACAGTTACCGGATCTGTTTGTTTCACCTTATGTGTGGCATGTGGCATCAACAGCATACAAGAACACACAGGGCTATACATATGCAATTTATTTATATTAAAAGGGGCCTTTATAAAGAAAAAAGGACTGAGGGAAACAAAACACAATGGGGTAATATCCATTAAAATCTAAATTAAAGGCAATAAATGTACGTAGTACTGAACGATATCGCTCTTTAATATATCGGTCTGTTAATAATAAATAATAACACCAATATATAAATATAATTAAAAATAAATATGTACTCTATTTCATTGTCATAATGTCACCATATATAGAAAAACCTCAAGATAACTACTTACAGATAAATGAAAAATTAAAGCGAGAAAAAAAGAAAATGAAAATTAAAGCCACTAAATTTGTATAAAGAATTTTAGAAATATAATTGCTTGAATCATACTAAGTAGTCTGGCTGTATTAACTACAAAAAATTAGTGATATTCTATAAAGCGGCAGGCAGGCTTTTGTTAATTTATGCGGCTTCAGTGTGGAGACGCCAACGTAAGTGCTTCACAATGGATACAAATTCAAGCCTGCCAAAATACCGTCATAATTGATTCAAGAGAATGTTTTCCTATGAATCCAATAAGCCACTTGACTAGCATCTGTCACGAAGGTCAAATAGAAAGAGTTATCGCAACAAAAAACTAGATTTATTTTTAGACCAATTGGGATCAAGGATTGTGCAGCCATTTAACAAGACTCTTTTTCTGGCAATGGCAATGGTCAACATGATATGTTGCACTTCTTTAAGTCCATATATATCATGGACACAACATATGCTGGTTGGGAGACTGCAAAATGAGAACATCAGCCATCGATAGAAGCAGCTAACATGGGAACCAGATTAAAAAATGTGTCTAAAATTATTAAATAAATAAAAAAATTAAATTAAATAAAGAAATCTGGTCTCCTGCCCTAAAGGACGACTCCCCAATGCTGAGGTGTTACGCGGACCGTGCCTATCAGTGTTTTTGGTTTGCAGTCAGGGTACCGACTATATTCTAACGGAGCCTGGTTGATACCTGGGCGCCTCAATCAGTATTAGGTTTAGCTACCAAGTCCTCGCCATGGTCGACAACTTGTCCTCCACTTCTCCAACTGCTATGGATATTAGCAAACTTTTAAAAAACCTCAAAAACAAAAAAATCTTCTACGACTGATGAAGTTGTGGTTGCCTTGGCAACCTCAGTCTTTCATTCTCCAAGGTCAAACAATCGATACAAGAACTCGACGCGGACACGGACTCTTCTTTCAGCGCGAATAGTTTCAGCACACGCTCCTCAAAAACAATTTTGAATGTGGGTGGGGAAAATTTCAGCACTACCCTGGGTGACATCAACAAAGAGTTTTTTTTAACAACAATTTCAGCGCTACCCTGGTTGACATCAACAAAGAGTTTTTTTAACAACCCAACACTCTGAATCTATACGCAACCTGATTGAGGAATATGACCGCTTCCGTCTAAGTCAGGAAAGTATCCCAACTGGCATATGGGACACCCCCATGAGAGACGAGGAGGAAGATTTTAATTCTACGATCATTAAAGTCTCCCCCTCTAGTCAACACGGGATGCCGACGGAGGCTACTGGTGATACCATTCCCTCAAAGACGGAATCTGTCATGCAGACGGCTGCGGCAGCCGATAGGCTACCACTGCTTCAAAGCAAATATGCAACAGAGGGAACAGTAGTCAAGAGTGGGCAATCCGAGGAAAGCTTGGAAACCCCGTTGATGACTACGATATACTTCTGGCAGTTTGTTTCTGTCAGAAGTATATCGGCCAAAATCCTAGTTCCATCAGCAGTCAACCTTTTGGTATAGCCCCTATATAAGGAAGCTCATTTTTCGGGGAAAAACGTCCATGCTGAAAATTTGCAATATAATTCCATGTTTTGTCCTAGCCCCAAAATATAGGTTCCCCACCATTTTTCAGCTTTTATTGACGTCCTCATGGTTTAACGGAAAAGCAAACCTATTTTAATTAACTTATTAACAACCTATGAACAGGTCTTGCGAATACAATTTACTATTTCCAGATATAGCTGAGTACGAAAATATACAACTATTATATGGAAAGTTTATTAAATCACTTTATACTACTTAAAATATGTGCCTTCCTGGTACCAAATTTCCCATCAACCCCAAAATTCACTTTCTTTTAAATCTTCTTTTTAATTCTCCGTTCAAGGAAATTTATAACGAAGCAAATTATTAAAAATCTGTTACATGAGGAGCACTGTGGGAAATGTGCACTTGACCTTCAAACATAGACGTGCAACATTTACACGTCAATTAGTTGTAAAATAAAACAGCCGGACAAAGGAATACGAATAAATTGCCTTTACACACTCAGAATTGAAAGCGCCAAGTAAATACGAATGGATGGATGCTACAAAACAGAAAACCAAAAACAACAACGAGAAGATTTTTTTCTAATTTCAAATAACCCCAACAACTAAGTGGATTAACAAGAAAAATAAACAACAACAACAATGCATTCTTTTTTGACCAGGGAGGAGGTGGAGGGTGCAGTTAGACAACAACACAAACAATTTATTAACACATCAATGGAGGCCAGCGTGAAATTATTGTTGTGTTACATACATGCATACCTATAATCGGTTAATGTTAAATGCAAATTTAAATTACGGCACCGCACACTGCGATGAATCAGAAGTTCGCCACATAGTGGGGGTGGCGGGCAGGCAGGAGTTAAACACCGAAATTAACAGGAAAACAAAAACACGGGAAACCATTTCGTAATCATTGACCTCTCAACTCAGTTTTTTTTTAATTAGTGACATTAACTCAACCCCCACCCCTACCCCAAAAATATATATATCCCAGAAAATAGATTCATCTACTTACGTTTGTGTGTCCACTTAAGATAGCACCATACGAATTTTTTACACAAATCACTAAATTCTATTTATCATTTAAATGCATTCACAATCGGTTTCCGCTTGCCGATATTCTGCAGCAACACTTAATGAATTAATAATTATTTGTTTTATTTGCAAAATATATCTATTTTCTGCAACGTATGTAACTTGAACTTTTGGTGTTTTCTAGACTTCGTTGTGTCAAAATCTCACATCTATGGCTACGCACATTTGTCCCATAAACGGCATTTAAATATCTACCGAATATTTCTAAAAATATAATGTTTATTTATATATATATTCTTGTTATTTCCACAAATGGACCGCACGATATCGTCGCAACTCCCAATTTTTTCCGATTTTCTCACATTGACAGAATTCTGATTGGCTTACTAATGTTGTTGTTTGTTTTGTTTGACATTTCATTAGGGGTATGCAGGTCGACAAATGGGCGTATAAGAAACAGCAAGTCGAAAATGTTCTTCGATAACTTCATGACATGTTCACACGTGATTTTTAACAAGCTTTTTCTGGCGCCCATATGGTCTGTTCCAGTACTTTTTTAATAGTAAATCTAGTAAAAGGGAAACATTTCAAAATTGCTCTCATTGTACAAAATAATTTGAAAAGTTCGGGAACGCAAATCTAGTAAATATGCCAAAATTAGATGGCAATACTTCAAAATCAACATAACAGCTAATCAGAAGTAGGCATTCCTGTTTACCATTTTTACTCGACCAAATTTCTAGAGTAAAAAGTTTACAAAGAGAACGCCATTTTGTTTTGTGCTCTCTTAAATTTTATTCAATGTTTTACCAGTTTTGTGGGTTGAGGAACGGTTTTCGAGTAAAAAGTTGCGAAACATGTAAAATGAGTAGATTATTTTAGGTTCTGGGTCCCATCTCCGAAACGGATTTGATCCAAAGAAACATGGGGTCTAGAACAAATATTTCGGCTAATGAGGAACCATCCTTATTGTTATTTCCACCAATGGACCGCACCGCAATTTGCTGAAATCTCTATAAAGGTCTACTTCCCTATATTTTCATTTCAAGTAGGGGGGTATCCATCGCATAATTATACAAGGTAGCCTCATGCAGTCATACGTTTCCGATTTTTTCATAAATTTGCCTTTGACAGTATTCACCTTTCAAAAATTAATTGAAAATGTCTTCTTCGAAATGTACGCATATTATTTGTTCAGTGCTAAATAATTAACAGGTTCGTTCCCGTACGTTTTGATAGTAAAGCTAGTAAAAGAGCGAACTATCCAAAATTACTCTCACATACAAGATTTGCGCAAAAAGTAAAGGAACGAAAAATAGTTAAAACATAAAGAAACGTCAAAATCAAAAATTTCATTTGTTAAGGACAAAAAAAGACTACAGAAACCTAATGCACAAAAAATTAAACGGCGTCCATTGCGTGATTTTGATAATATTAATATTTATTGTTTATTTTTTTATTTGTATAATTTAGAGGAAAACATTATCGAAAATTTGGAAGTGGAGTTTCCGACGACTCCGAGTCCGGAAAGGTTTACATGGCTGGACGCTCCCATAACGTTAATGCTATTGAAATTGGCAGATATTTTGATTGGAATGTTTTAGCAAACATGAACAACAAGATATGGAACAAGTCAAGTTTAAGGGCTCCACTCGGATCACAGATATATAAATTTCATGTGGGGAAATGCATACTTCCCGAGATATTGGCCTTGAAATTTCGGAACAACCTTTTCGAAACAACCCTTTTTCTATTGCCACCAAGGCAATATGGGTATCATTAAAAGGTTATATCGGGTACTTTTTAAGGCCCATATCGCGGGAAGTATGCATTTTTCCCTATAAAATTCACTGTAATCAGTTCACCGAGGACTACTTACTGTAAAAATGCCCCTAAAATTGACTTAAGCCCAAGATATTTTGGACCAATGTACACACATTCATCTTCACATCTTCATTCTATAGTATCTTCATCTGTATCTTCTGCCAGTCATTCATCTTCGCTATCCTTCAAAAGATAATAAAAAATCAGTTTGTCCATTTTTAAATTTCCTATTAGTTTTTTTTTTCAAGCAAATGTGTGTGTGTCTGTGCGTGTGTCATTTTTTTTTTTTTTGAAGCGCTAACTTTCATATGCTTTATTTCGGACTGTATATCTCTGGTAATCAAATGTCAAATTCACAATTTACTACATTTACTATTTCGTGCTAGGCCAAATTGGTCTTGCAGAAAATAGGAGAAGAGAACGCCATTTTGGTTTTAACTCTCTTAAATTTAACTTAAATTTTTCCTACTTTTCGACGTAAGGAAACGCTTTTCTAGCAAAAATTGCAAAACTAGTGCAATATAGTACTATATTGCAGGCTTGGGAACACAGCTAATATTTATAAATATTTTGAAGTTCCCTGCCTCTAAAAATATGTTATAAAATTGTAAATATAACAGTACGTTTACACTTAACCGGATTTCGTTAACCCAGTGGGTTTAAATTGTCATTTCCTTTGCATATATGTCAAATAAATCCTCATAAAGTAGGTTAACCCGGTAAAAAGTTCTAATGTACAAGGAGTTTAAGTTGTAACAAACATTGTTAAATCTTGAGAGCAATGTTCTGCTTTAGAAAATATGTTTAGTTTAATTTATTTCAAATTTTATGAAATTTACAGTACGTTTACATTTAACCGGATTTCGTTAACCCAGTGGGTTTCAATTGTCAATTCCTTTGCATATACGTCAAATAAATCCTCATTAAGTAGGTTAACCCGGTTAAAAGTTCTAATGTACAAGCAGTTTTATATTTTATTGCAATTGAAATAGGTATATGAATTCCCAATGAAAAAGAGTTGCCGTCATCAAATTCTCAAATGAGACTACCGTCTGTAATTATGTCATGTGACTATACCAAGAACTTTGATACATAAATTTAATATTTTTCAAAAGGTGGAGTTAAAGCGGATTTAAATATAACATTTAATCATGATTAAAGGCAGAATCAGGGTTTTTTTCCTAATCACGCCGAATTTACCATGATTTATCATACAAATTTAAATCATCGTGCGGCAGGATTTATTTTAAATCATGATGCTACAATAAGGTGATGTATCAAAACAAAAAAAACTTTGTTTTTGTCTCGACCTGTCAAAATTTTCCATATAATATTTCACATGGTTGGGTCACGTTGCACATTGAATCCATTAAGAAATTACACACTTTGACAGTTGAAATCATCGAAATCATGAAACTAATTAGAGTTGTACAGTTCATGAACGAACTAGTTCCAATGAACGATTCACTTAAAAGACCGATTGAACGTAAGTAAAATGACAGCTGAATAAAAGAGTTCCATTGCGAACGTTTGAACTACTGAACTAGATGACCGAACTAGTTCAGTCAAAAGAGTTGAACTAAAAAGAGCGATCAGCTAACTGAACTAGATAGAACAACTCTAATACTAATGAGATACAACGCGTTTTTGTTCGAAAAGATACAACTATCTCACAATGTACCAACATTTGCAACTATTTTCACGTATTGCTTGTATGTTGAAGATTTTTTCTATTTTTAATTCTTTCATCAAACAAGTATAAACCAATTTACTGTTGTACCACTTTGGCATTTGATAGATATCATACATGTTTTTCAATTTTATTTTGAGGATTCGAAAATATTACATTACAAAGTTTTTTTTTAACCTTTTACTTGAAAACCGTTCCTGAACCCACAAAACTTGAAACCAAATTTAAGAATTTGCTTGAATCTGTATTTGAGAAATTTGGGGGAGTAAAAAGTGGAAAAAGGAATGCCAACATCTGATTGGCTGTTGTGTAGCTTTCCGTCCCAGAACTTTTCGTATTATTATATACTTTGTGATCGATTTCGATATTTTCCCCTTTACATATTTATAACTCCTTTAGACAACTATATCCACACGATTTCAAACGTCAATTCCATAGCGTATACGCCACATTAAAGTGTGCTCGAAATCCACTCGACTTCCAATAAAACCCAGTACGTATAATAGTACGTTTACATTGTACCGGATTTCGTTAACCCAGTGGGTTTACATTGTTAATTCCATTGTATATATGTCAAATAAATCCTCATAAAGTAAGTTAACCCGGTAAAAAGTTCTAATGTAAATGCCGTGTAAGTCAAATATTAAGGTGGCGTATGCGCTATGGATTTACATTTGAGATCGAGTGGATTTACAATGTGCAGCAGTCTAAACGAGCTCTTCCTATTCACAAATCCACTGGATTATATTTGACGTATACGCATTACTAGTATGTTTACAGTGTACGGGATTCCGTAAACCCAGTGGGATTCCATTAAAAAATCCATTGTTTATATTCCAAATAAATCCTCATAAAGTGGATTATAATGTAAATGACGTTTAACATTTGAGATCGAGTGGATATCGTAAATCTAAACGCACTTTTACTATTAAAAAGTACGGAAACAGACAAATTGTACTATTGTAATATGGGCCAATCTATTGTTTGAAACTTCCAACCTCTTGCTATTAACTTTATTATAGCATGCTTAAAATCAGCTGTCCGACGTAGGGTGAAAAATGTCATAAACAAGCGTATTATTAACAACGTATTAGCATGTGTTGAATATAACTATTAAAATTTTTAACAGTTAAATTTCAACAAAATATATGAATAATTGTGATAGCCACCGATTACCCGAACTACATATGTATGTATAGTAGATATTATTATTAATTTATGTAAAATATGCCCATCAAATTCCATTTCGATATGGGTTAAATTTGATTTTATGATAGACAACTTAGCGTTTGCAAAATTTCTTGTTTTGATATTCGATTTCTATTTTGCTAAAATTTGTCAACTTTTAAGTATTTTTATTTAGTATCTTCGAAGAATTTACCGCTAAAAGCAACGAAAATTTGTAGAATTGTCTTTGTGAAATAAACATGGATTACATAAGCATTTTTATTTGTGTCGTTCTATCAACTACGCAATCGTACGCAAAAAATATGATTACAAAATATTACGAAGATATAAGTGGCAACGGTGCATTGGACGATGTCACTACTTATAAATCTACAAATTTGAATGCAAATAAAATACTACATACAAATTCGCTTGACGAAGCAAGTCAAGAAGCTCAAATGCTGGACAGTGTATTTCTAAATATAGAAGAAGCTCCCTATCACGTTGCCTTATTCGCTAACAATTACTTCATTTGCGCCGCATCAATAATCAGTTTAGATTGGATTGTAACAGCTGCACATTGTGTATATGGTATTGAAAATTTCGGAATCCGATATGGTACGACAGATTGCAGAAAAGGTGGCAAAATCCGTCAGATTACTACAATTGTGATAAATGGACGTTTCAATATTCGTTCCCTGGACAATGACATATCAATGTTGCGAGTCAATTACCCATTCCAATGGTCGTCTAATGTACTACCACTCAGTTTGCCCAACGAATATTCGAAATTTCCGCTGAAATTATTAATGAGTGGCTGGGGAAGTATTGAAGAAAATAATGTACCGGGATTCTTTTTGTATGGTGTTGATGTAACTGCCATACCACGAAGTGTATGCCGCAAAATCTACGGCAATGCCGTTGTTATTACAACAAACATGATTTGTGGTAATGCTACGGGAACAGGCGCATGTCAAGCCGATTCTGGAAGTCCACTTGTCCATAAAGGCATACTATATGGTATATATACCTTGGATATTGGTTGTAGGGAACCGAGGGCACCTGGTTTATATGTGGATGTTCGTAAACAATGCCAATGGATTCAAGATGTAGTGCAGCGACATGGTGGTCAAATGCCGAATATATTAGAGTAAGAAAAATGTGAATACTTTAAGACAGTTGTATTAATAAACAAAAAATTTTAAAATATATAAAGAATAGAAACCTGAGAAAAAAAAATAAAAATGAATTTGGACGCCGTTCTCCTTTATTCTTTTACAACAAAAGAAGACAATGTAACATGTCAATCCTGAAATCCTCTTATGTGTTTCCCTCATAAAAACGGATTTCAAAGTCGTGTAATGGAATCAATGTAGAAAAGTCACAATATGAGGGAGGATACAAATATTTTAAAAATATATAGAGTATAAAAACCTGAGAATATAATAATTAGTTTCTTCCCGTAACCAAAAATTTGTGAAACTTTTTAAATTTATAAGACGAAAAATAGAATTCTAGATTAAAAAACGTGCACAAAACCATGGTATAAGTCTGGGTTTACACATGCAACTTTTTTTAAGTAACCCTGCTGCTGCTTTCTTCGATTCTATTTGATTTTCTTCCCCTTGCCACTTTTTATGCCACTCTCTTCTAAGAACTCAGCAACTTTGCTTAGTCTAGGTTTATACATGCAATTTTTGTAATCAACTCTGTTGAGTTCTTAGAAGTGAGAGGTATAAAAAGTGACAAGGGGGAAGAAATTCAAAAAAAGAATCGTAGAGAGCAGCAGTATAATTGCTTAAAAAAGTTGCATGTATAAACACAGACTTACTAAAGTTGCCTGCATAAACCCCGAGTAAGGGGGGAAACACATACGAGTATGTCATACGAGGATTCAGGCCTGGCATGTTAAGTTGGCTTTGTGTGAAATGTCAATTTATAAAAGAAACCAACCAATCCATGCCAACCAATCAATCCAATACCATGCCAATCACATAAGAATGTTTCCCTCTTGATAAAAACAGATTTCAAAGTCTTGTAAAGGAATCAATGTGGAGAAGTCACAATAGATGTGTCTGGTTACTTTTCCATTAAATTTTACTAAGTAAGTAAGTAATCCTTTTTTACTCTCTTTTGCGATAAAAAGTAAACAGACAACATTTAGTAAGATTTAGCAAATAAACAGCTGATTCAAGAAAACATTTGATTTGCGCCAAAATAAACAACAAACAAAGGACGAACACAATTATTTGTATTGTATTTAATATTAAACATAAAATAAACTGGAACTTGCCTAAAAATATATCAGGAGTTAGTTTCTAATTTAATGAAACTTTGCATTACTTACGAATTTTCTTCCATTTTTTGTAATTTTTAAACAACTTAAACTCCTTGTACATTAGAACTTTTTACCGGGTTAACCTACTTTATGAAGATTTATTTGACGTATATGCAAAGGAATTGACAATTAAAACCCTCTGGGTTAACGAAATCCGGTTAAATGTAAACTTACTATTAACTTCAAATTGTACTTTGCAAATTAAAAAAATGTTTTGAATAATTTTTGTGTTTGGTCATAAAACAGCTGATCCAAAAATGGCTGCGTTTGCAAAATCTTACTGCATAAAATTCTTTCAGTAAACTCCAGTAAGTTTGTTGTTGTTGAACTGTCAAACTTGCTCTCTCACTTGACTCTCTTTTACTGGATTTTTGGGTAAACAGACAACATTTGGTAACAATTGTTACCAAATATCGAGTAAACAGACAGAGCTAATATGACAGAGGATACGGAAAAGGATAAAATTGCAGAACAAAGAAAAACTGTCGTTTAAAAATAATTATTATCAAATAAAAATGGATTCTAAACAAAGTCTTATTTATCACATACACAATTGTTTTGTTTGTTCCTTCTTCCTTACAGGTGAAATGTCCAATCTGTTACCATGAGAAACTTTTAAGAATGTTGTTTCTTATACGCGAACATACGCACATAAGACATCTTTCTTATATGAATATATAAATGAAAAGCAAAGCATGACATAATTACAGAAGGTAGTCTCATTTGAGAATTTGATGATGGCAACCTTTTTAATTTGGAATTCATCCATGGTATAATAATAAAAGGTAACAGCAAGTGTTGTTGTACAAAAAACGATACAACAACCACATGGAAATTTGTTGTTGTAAGTTATGCTAGTGTCAACTCATTTGACAGAAAAATGTAAACAAACAAACAAATTATCATCAAATTATTTTTATTTTGAAAATGGAATATTTTCGAATCCTCAAAATAAAAATTGAAAAACATGAATGAAAATCTATCAAATTTATATTTCTATCGCTTCCACATCTTTCCTTTAATTGAGCCATTGTCATATATATGTGTAACACATATGCCAATGCTGGGAATAGCGAGTAATTCCTTCAAGAAAGATTTGCTTCCTCAAACTTTCCCAGCAGGCAGATTGAGTAAATTGAATACGGGAGCACATTAATAAAGAACAATTTCAAATTGTATGCGTTCCCAATTTTCCTGTTGGGTGATTTTTAAAAGCATAATTTGTCAAATTCATATTGACACTAGTATTACGTTGGAATCAAATCAGCTGGGATTTGCTGTTACCTTTTATAATTCTACCATGGAATTCATCTATCAATTTTAAATGCATAATATGACAAATAAATACGATAAAATTTTATGTATTTGAATTGGCATATTTTAATAAATTAAACAAAATATATTTTCTAAAACTGAACATTGCTCTCAAGATTTATGTTCAATTGGTATGTTCCCGTACTGTAAGTATCTACTACTTTTTACTACGATAACAAATTTCCCTTTATAATATCGAAAAAATAGTAAAAACTATGACATTCTTGCAGTACGGGAACAGACCAAATTCGTCAAAAATATTTAAAAACATTTGTTGTTTTAAATTACAGCAATTTTCATTATTAATTAAAATTAGATTTTAATTTGGCAGCAACTAATTTGAATGTTAAAGTATTTTGAAGAATACGTTTATTAAATTTGATTTGTATCATGGTACAATAATTACAAGGTAGGGCAGCTTGAGGTGAATAACAAAAAAGCAACTATGCACGTGTGGCCTCTTCTGCCAAAAATAAAATAAATATACGCAACAAGTGTTTGTGTTTATTTGACATTTTTTCTACACAAAACTAAAAACGCGAAAAATGAATGAAAGGTTATGATTTCTTTCTAAAATCCATAAAGTGTTTGTTTCATCCATAACAAAGTAATTACTTCCAGACGAACGTGTTAAAAGCTTTATTTTAATTTCAATTAAAATTGAATATATTTCCATTTATTTTGAATTTATTGACATTGTATTCAAAACAATACACACACATACACAATGTATGTATTTTGATTTGATGGAACAAGCCACCTTGAAAAAATTGTAATCAGTTGGTAGCTGTGCCCTACCTTGTAATTATTATACCATGATTTGTATTTGAAATTATATCGGTTTACGACGCGTTTAGACTATGCATTCTAAATGTTAATTGTTTACGTTTGCCGTGTTCTTTGTTATGGATGAAACAAATATTTCATGGTATTCCCTACACCAAATAGGCATTATCAATTGATTAAAAAAAATCGAAGAATAAAAACAACAGTTTTCTGAAAGAAAGCTAAAATAAATTCACTTTTTTGATTGAATGATTGATGAATCAACTTAATAATAGATACCAAATTAACTGACATGTCTGACCCAATGAATTTCCTACCAACAACCACACTGACCTAATGAACTTCATACCAACAACAACACAGTAGAAAATTAATCAATTCTTAGAATATTTAAATTTCTTTTTTATGTTAACATTTCATAATTAAGACGAAATATTAATTAAGACCAGGAGCTGTTATGATCCGGTGTCATCTGTTTACATGATGGAAAATAAAATTATCTATACACATGAGTGTTCGCATGTATATGGGGGTTAACATTAATCATATTTAATTATTTAGTATTCGGAATGAATGGAAATACCGAAAATGTGCAAAAAAAAAACAAAAGTTTCGGATTAGAATTCTTCAAGTTACTGACCGTGGTTATAGATGTTACACACACCAACAAGATGTGGAGACGTACGTACGTGTTAACCTGTACGCTGTTTGTTCTACACCGATTTGCAGATGGACAAGTGCAAAATAATACCATTTTCGAAGACGAAGATGCCAGTGAAATGTTTTACAATCTTGAATCGAAACTGTACAATAAAGGAAATAACACACGGATAGTTGGAGGCATACCGATTAATATACATCAGACGCCGTGGCAAGTTGCTCTCTACAATAATGGATATTTTATATGTGGTGGATCTATAATAAGCGCTGATTGGGTAATGACCGCGGCACATTGCACCGAGGATGGTGGCAAATTCGCTGTTCGGGCTGGATCACCGTTTCTTGATCGTGGCGGACAAATTCGATTAGCCCGCATTATTCTGGTACATGGCAGATATAATAGTTATACAGCTAATCGGGATATTGCTCTCATTCGGGTACACAAAAAATTTCATATTACCAAATACGTGAGCCCCGTACATATTGCACGATATGGAAGACGTTTGCCCCAGCAATTGTTTGTCAGTGGATGGGGTACAACGAAGGAGAATGGAATGGTGCCCAATCGTTTAAGAGGTGTGCTATTGCGAAAAATGTCCCGCCGAACATGTCGACAAAAATATGCAAAAGACCAAATACCCATAACGAAGTTTATGATATGTGCCAAAAGACCGCAAAAGGATGCATGTCAAGGTGATTCTGGCGGACCATTGGTTCGAGGGCGTATACAATATGGCATTGTGTCCTTTGGTATTGGTTGTGCGCGTCCAAAATATCCTGGTGTTTATACGAATCTTCGGCGTTTGAATAAATGGATCAGAAGGGTGGTGAAACGCTGGGGTGGTAAAATGCCAAAATTTAGATGATGTTGATAATAACTTAAACAAATCATGTTTATAAAGAATTGCAAGTGGAATAAAAAGTTTAAGACTTATTAAAACAGTTTTATGAATAAAACAAATGTTTGATGAAATTTATTTATTAAAAAACACTTGGTGTTATGCATTTTTACTTAATGGAAAGCAATTCCTATCAAAATTATAGAAATATGTATTTCAATTATGAATGGAAATTATGCCATGAAAATTATGAAAATGGTAAGGATTTGGTAACTCCCATGGTACAATTATACAAGGTTGGGTATCTTTTTTCTACAACAGTGTTGAACAGAACTAAATTGAGAGAAAGTGTGCGAGAGCGTAAAGCGGTGTACACACTATCATTTTTGACTGTCAACTATTTTATGGATTACTGACTGTCCAACAACCATAAATATTTTTGTGGTTGCCTGATGAATGACAAACATGTGAGGCCACACTATCAAACAAGCAAAATTTGGGCAAGAGTGCCATTCAAAAATGCTAGTGTGTACACCGCATAAGTGAGAAATAATCATCAAAAAAGGCTGACTAAAAGAGAAAAAAGAGAATATGAGTTTAGCCATCACCGCTATCGTACTAATTTGTGCATTATTGGTCTTACAAAGAAAAAATACACCTCTAACTTGTGGTCAAAATAAATAAAAAGAAATTCAACAAGTTGTTCTGTTCATTTGATATATTATAATATTTTACCGAAAACGTGAAAAATTAATGGAATGTCAAGATTTCTTTTCAAAATCTAATTGAGAATATAGTTTAGATTCATTCATAAATCATAAATTTCTTCTTACCAATATTGTAAAATTCATTTTTAAACAAATGGATTTAGAATACATTTTAATTTATGAATTCACATGGTCTACCTTGAATAATTGTACCATGGCATAGGTATAGTCTTAACCACTAAAAGCTCATTTACATACAACAGAAAATTTAGGATTAAAAGGTCGTTTACATTTAACCGGATTTGGTTAACCCAGTGGGTTTAAATTTTCAATTCCTTTGAATATATGCCAAATAAACCCTCATAAAGTAGGTCAACCCAGTAAAAAGTTATAATGTAAATGCCGTATTAGGGTTGTTGCGTCATTTATTTCCTAAAATCGGCACTATTTTCCGTCATTTACAACACAACACACGAACACACCATACTTATGCTATAAATTCTCCTTTTATTCCAAAAAAATTGCATCTGTTCTCATCCGTCGCTCGGTGCACATAGATTAAAAGTACTTTTACATATACGATTTTAAATCAACTCTATTAACGAAATCCAGAAATACACCCTAATTGTTTACACATACCTTTAATCATGATCTATAACCCGATCAGCTGATGTTTGTTAATATATACAAAATTATTAATTTGCGCCAAAAATATTTGTTTGCAATTGGAAAATGAAATTATTTCCAATGCTGTGATCATTTGGAATGTAAAAAAATCAACTAAAATCAAAAAAAATTCTATAAATAATTTTTGTTTTCCTTTAATTTTGTTTTGTCTCGACCATCTGTCAAATTTTTCCATATAATATTTCTCATTGTTGGTAACATTGGATATCGAGCACGTGTTGTACGTATATCATACAAGGTAGTTCCATGCAGTCATATGTTTCCAATTTTTTCATAAATTTGCCTTTGACAGTATTCAGCTTTCAAAATTTAAATAAAAATATCCTCCTTCGAAATGTACGCATATTATGTGTTCAGTTGCAAATATGTATATTTGGTCTGTTCGTGTACTTTTTTAATAGTAAATCTAGTAAAAGGAAACATTTCAAAATTGCTTTCAGAGTACAAAATAATTTGAAAAGTTCGGGAACGCAAATCTAGTAAATATGCCAAAATTAGATGGCAATACTTCAAAATTAACATAACAGCCAATCAGAAGTAGGCATTCCTGTTTACCATTTTTACTCGACCATATTTCTTGAGTAAAAAGTTTTCAAAGAGATGTTGCGTGGGTGGGATGAATGACTCCTTTTTTCTAGGGCGGCGCTATTCAAAATGTATCGCCTGCAACGGTTGAAACACAGCCACTCGTTTGGGCCAATAAAAGGGATTGGTGGACTCCGCCAAAAATATATATTTTTTTTAAATTAAAAATCACCAATAAATTATTTGACGCGCGCGCTCTGCATGTGAAACCCGGACTGAAGAGACTGAGGAAACGAACAGTGTAGCCACATCAATAAAAAAAATAAGGCTGTGTTCAGTGTACTTATTACTACGTTTTTATCAACCCTGAATTTTAGTGCAACATTCGCCATTAAATGTATTTTCCTAAAAATTATTGGAAAATTTATGAAAATGGAGGAAAATGTAGACTCTATAAATAAGGGTAGGAGCAAGATTATAGCTCCAGTCTAGGATTAACCGTCACAGGTCTGAGTGCACCACAAAACTGTTGAGAAAAATCCAAATAAATACCAAAAAAAGACAACGACAGTCAATATATGTGTAAACGTTTTTATTTAATGATATCTTTTGTTAACCGGTGGAATCAAAAAAGTTACCGTTCCCCAGAAAAACACCAATCTGCTACTGGCCTCCGGTATTCCCAAGAGGAGGTCAGTGATTATTTTTTTTGGATCTCCAACGAGCCTTTTGTGTTGTGTGTGTGGATGTGTGGCCTTTCAGCTGTTTTTGCCAGCAGCAACATAAACCAAATTTTGTGTGGCCGATGGTAATCTAAATCCTCCTTTATTTTTTGGCCGGAACAGAGGTAACGGTGCTACTCAGCTAAGATAGGCGGTTGTCTGGAAGCATATCAAAAGAAAAATAAGAAAGCGATAAATTTTAATACCTACAATGATTTGGGAATAAACCCATGCCTTTAGCCTTAAAGGGATTCCCAAAGAAATATTTTTAAAATTCGTTAATCTTGATAATTATTATAAGACAAATTATTTAAGTGTATCTTGTGTTGTCCTTGTGTATGTCAACTTTTTATTTGAATTTGTAAGGATTTGTGATTTGACTCCAGATTGTTTTTAAGTGTTTAAAGGTCATATAATTCTCTGAAGGAAGACTAGGGATTCGTCGTATATAGTTTTAACGCCGGATTGGCCTATTCAACCATTATAAACGAGCTCCTTTATAATAGGGACTTGATGAGTAGTTTTTAAAGTGTTATTTAAAAAAGAATCTCTAGCGTTTCAAAGAGGAAATTTTAATATCGAATTTGTTTTTGTTTCATTGATATATTGAGTGATCTGGGGGTTGAAGAATCCAAGACAGGTTTTTTAGTTTCAAGGCTTATATTATAAGAATAAATGTAATATGTGTTGATTTTGTTACCATAACTAATATGTTTTAATTGTTCTTTTAGAGAGGATTCTAAGAAGGTGATGAGGTGAGTGTGTGTGTGTTTGCGGGGTTTCCAATAAAATTGATACGTTGGAACGTTTGGAAACCATGGTTGGGAGGGCAACATGTGAGAGTAAAACATCTATACTCTCTTATCAAGGCAGGTGTTGTGTTTGAATGTAGTGTGTTTGTTTGTTTGAATAGTAAAGTTTCATTTTCGTGTTCGCCCTGATGGGCTAGAGATGTGGACGGGTTGAGGACCATAGCCCAGAGACCGCTAACTAGCCGGAAGGTCCCCTCTAGCGCCGCCTAACAGGGAGTCGTAACAGATGGCGCCCAATTCAAAGAAAATAAGTTCAAAACTTGAACAAGAATATTTAAAGTGCAATACCACCTAGTCACTAAATCCATAGAATAATAGGGACTTGATGAGTAGTTTTTAAAGTGTTATTTAAAAGAATCTCTAGCGTTTCAAAGAGGAAATTTTAATATCGAATTTGTTTTTGTTTCATTGATATATTGAGTGATCTGGGGTTGAAGAATCCAAGACAGGTTTTTTAGTTTTAAGGCTTATATTATAAGAATAAATGTAATATGGTTGATTTTGTTACCATAACTAATATGTTTTAATTGTTCTTTTAGAGAGGATTCTAAGAAGGTGATGAGGTGAGTGTGTGTGTGTTTGCGGGGTTTCCAATAATATTGATACGTTGGAACGTTTGGAAACCATGGTAGGGAGGGCAAAATGTGAGAGTAGAACATCTATACTCTCTTATCAAGGCAGGTGTTGTGTTTGAATGTAATGTGTTTGTTTGTTTGAATAGTAAAGTTTTATTTTCGTGTTCGCCCTGATGGGCTAGAGATGTGGACGGGTTGAGGACCATAGCCCAGAGATCGCTAACTAGCCGGAAGGTCCCCTCTAGCGCCGCCTAACAGGGAGTCGTAACAGAGAACGCCATTTTGTTTTGTGCTCTCTTAAATTTGAGTCAATGTTTTACCAGTTTTGTGTGTTGAGGAACGGTTTTCGAGTAAAAAGTTGTAAAATGAGTAGATTCTTTTTAGGTTCTGGAACGGTACTATTATATTATTAAATATAATTATAAATATATATGGTCTGTTCCCGTACTGCAAGAATCTACTATTTTTTACTACGATAACACTTCTTCCCTTTATGATATCGAAAAAATAGTAAAAACTCGTACATTCTTGCAGTACGGGAACAGACCAATAATTTATGAATATTTTAAAGTTCATTGCCTCTAAAATTTTTAAATATAAGATGTAACAACCATGGTTCAATCTTCAAATTTTTTATCGGGATAATCTACTTTATGCGGATTTATTTGACGTATATACAATGGAATTGGCAATTTATACCCACTGGTTTAAATAAAATCCGGTACAATGTAAACGTACTATAACATCAATATTATTTATTTACATAAATATATTTTTGGTTACACAAAAGAGTATCGTTGTATATTATTTATGTCTTAAAATCCCAAAAAAAGATTTGCAAATATAATTTTCTGTTACTTCATTAGAATAATACGGAATACATTAGATATTCATGAGTTCTATTCATTTTGAATAGAACTATTCTAGATGACCCCTGTTCTTTTGATTCATTTTTAATTGTATTATCAAAACGTCGAGATGTGGCTATACTGGTTTCATCTTCTGGTCAGTTTTATATTCGTTCTAAACATCGACAACAGTTCGGCACAATTACGGAATATAACTTTGTTCAAAGACGGAATTGATGATTTGGATTATTTTGATCCAAAAATTTACAACGTCAATGGAACTCGTATAGTGGGTGGCAAGCCCACTAATATTAGACAGGTGCCATGGCAAGTTGCCCTCTACGACAAGGGATATTTCATATGTGGCGGATCCATTATTAGCGCTGATTGGATTTTAACGGCAGCTCACTGTGTTGAAGGTGGTGGTAATTTTGCTGTCCGTGTCGGTTCTTCGTATAACAATAGGGGCGGACAAATTAGACGGGCCCGTGTGGTTATTATGAATGCTGGTTACAATACTCGTACAGCTAATCGTGATATTGCCATGATCCGTGTTAATAGACGTTTTACATTTAACCAATTCGTAAGACCCGTTATATTGGCACGACAAGGTAGGCGATTACCACGACGATTGTTTGTTAGTGGCTGGGGAACACGGAAAGAAGGTGGATCGGCGACAATGCGTTTACGAGGCGTTACAATTCAAAAACTCAATCGACGTCAGTGTCGTCGAAAATATGCTCGAGATAATATACCCATTACAAGCTATATGTTTTGTGCCACGACACCAGGGAAAGATGCGTGTCAAGGCGATTCTGGTGGCCCCTTGGTGCACAGACAAATTCAATATGGTGTTGTGTCCTTTGGTATTGGTTGCGCCCGTCCAAAATATCCCGGAGTCTATACCAACATACGGAAATTAAATAAATGGATTAAAAAAGTTATACGTCGTCGGGGTGGAAAAATGCCTAGATTTGGTTGATAATTGTCATTTAAATATTTCTGAGTGAACAAATAAAGGCTGTGATTGGTTAATTAGACGCACAGAAAACTGATTTTATTTTCAATTTAAGTTTTTGTAAATAAAAAAAAACTTCAGACACTTTGCTTTTACCTTATTATAACACGAGTAAGAGCAAACTAAAACAAAATTCACATACAACATTCTTAACCTGGCATTAATCTATCGATTAGCCAAAATGTGGTCCAGCACAAACGCATAATGAATTTTGAAAATAATTAATTTAAAATATAATTCAAATCAACAACTCTCTTTAAAATACAAAAAAAAAAGAAAATAATTAATTTAAAATATAATTTAAATCAACAGCTAAAAAACTATAAAGTTTAACATACATACAAAACAATGTGAAAAAAATCTGTATATGTTAAATATGCTGATCTTCTGCGAAACCGCAATTCTTAATTGGTTTCTTTTGTTAATATTATATTAGACATTAATTTATGTGTTCTTCTTAATTTATTTATATTCTGTGGGTCAATGGTTTATGGGTCACATCGTCGTAACAGAAATATCACATAACGTTGTTATGCTAACGTTTAAAAGAACATTAAGGTGAGTCGAATGAAAATGCTTGAAATATAACAATGCTGCCTTGATATATGATATTCCTAATAAGTGAAAACAAACATTTAACATGATTTTGAATACATAATTGCAATGTTGGAAATTTAGTTAAGCTCTTATAGAAATCTGTGATTCGAACATTTTTTAGCTCAAGAGTCAAACAATTCGCTTTTCTCAAATATAAAGAAGTTATCTGTTATATATAAAGTTATTCTATATTTTCCACAACAAAAATGTACGTTTGGTTGTAATTACAATCAGTGAGTTTCAATTTGTATTTATTATTTAAGCCGAAAATAATTTTTAAATAAAATAATTCAAAATCGGGTAAAGTGGACCACTATAAAAAACAGGACCTTTTCAGGGGAATAGTTCGTAATTTGGGCACATAATAAAAATATTTCTGCGAGGAGGTATACTACCTCGCCTAAAGAGTTTTCAGAACTCTGTAAGCGAAATTACAGCTGCTTCGGTTGAAAATGAAGCTAGCACCTTCAAAATACCGCAAATGGGGCGGTACTCTTAAATGGGAGCTATTCCTAAACAGGAACCCATATATTTTTGCATTCATTGTTACCCAAGATTGAAATGAATATAAATTTATTACAACCAATCCACAATCTACCTTTTAAATATAAAGTTTTTAAATATAATGCAATAACATTTTTATAGTCAAATATATATAATGTTTGACCTGTATTTAGACGGCAAATCTACTATGTCGTGAAAACAATTTGTTTCCATTTTTACCGTTGGAACGCCCACAATATCGAAAAAAGAAAGATGCACTAATTACTTACTTAGATGGCTTGTGACAGAACTTTCGTTCCATAAGCCGAGATTAAAAAAATTTCCGGGCGAGTCGGTCGTTTGCGCAGTTTTTTTTTTCAATTTAAAAGACCATGTTCGGCAATATTGTTTCCCACTTGATCTTTCCATTTTATTCGCGGCATTCCCCTTCTGCGTGAACTTTCAGTCGGTTCGCTTTTATAGCTAGGGCATCTTCATCCATTCTAACTTAGCCAACGTAGTCGCTGCGGCTCGATACGTTTGGCAATGTCGATGTCCGAGAACAGATGGTACAACTCATGGTTTATTCGACAACGATAATCACCATCAACATAGATCGGCCCATTTAATTCGGAGAATTTATTTTTATATTTTTAAAGGGGGTTATGGTCACATTGATTACTTTCGGGAATGGCAGAGAAGACTGCAGTTTTGGATTTCGCCACAAATCCTCATCAGTTATCTTAGGTTTTTGCTCGGGATATTGTCCCAGGGACTGTCTATATCACTCCACTAAACATCCGACTGCTTGCGCAAGTACCCATGTTTCCGATCCATATAACAGCACGGGTAGTATCAACGTCTTGTAAAGTGTGAGTTTGGTCTGGCGGGAGGTGGCCTTGGTTCTAAACTGCTTACATAGACCGTAGTAGCATCTGTTGGCCTTCGCCGAATTTCAAAACTGATGACTTTTGTTTTATTTAAGGCCTTAAACACCCCTTATGCCTTTAAACACCTCTGAACGGATAGGGCTGTCGGATGCAGCTTTATATTCGACGAATAGGTGGAATGTGTCGATATGTTTTTCGTGGGGATTTCCCAGGTCTGAAGCCGCATTGGTATGGTCCAATAATTGGCTTCAGTCGTTCACACAGACTTATTCTTCTATAATTGGCACATATCGCCTTGTCTCCTTCTTGTGCACGAGACACAGGATACCGTCATCTATTATTGGTTCTGGGGTATCCTCTTCACGCTAATACTTTTTGATACCAGATCCTCCTTCCTCCCAGATCCTTAGCACGCTGTCTGTATCTGTCACCAGGTTTCTTTCTTCATATCTACAGGAGGAGACGAAAAATTACATATATATTTTATATATGAAGAACAAGTAGCAAATTCTAATAATATTTTATGCTCTGACAAAAATGAGATGGGAAAATTACTGAGAAAATTCTCTAGAATTTTTTATTTGAAATCCCCAATAACATCCACTTTTGTTGGAAAATGTGGCTAAGATCTTCAAAATAACTAATATGGAAGGGGATCTGGAAGTCTTCTTAAAGATGAGTAGCAAGTTTTTTTTATAGAAAACCATCTATAAGAACGCATTTAAAGTACTAAATCCACTCGATTTCAAACTTCAATTCCATAGCGTATACGTCACGTTAATCCTGTTTACAAATCCAGTGGCATGGCACAATAAATAGGTAGTCCATTTAGCGCAGCTGATGTCTTGATTAACTGTCAAATTGCGTAATTTCTGCTTGAATTCGATATGCAATGTTGCCAACCATGTGAAATATGATAAGGAAACATTTGACAGATGACCGAGACAAAAACAAAGGTTTTTGTTTTGATACATCACCTTATTATTGCATCATGTCCAGTGATTATATTTGACGTATACGCTTTGAAATTGACATTTGAGATCGAGTTGATTTGATTTGCCAGCGGTTATTTGTTATAAATATATTCATAATTTTAATAGGAATTACCCGCCATTAGATCAAAAATGCATAAAAATATTTGTTGTTTCAATTTATAATAATATTCGCTATAAATTAAACAAACTTCTCAATTTTTCATCAGCTGTTATATTTTTGGTAGGCAACTATTTTGAATGGTAACGGATTTTGTAGCATACTTGAAGGATACGTCATTATTTCTTGAAGCAAAAACAGTAGTATTTGGAATTATCTTAATATAAACCGATTTACGTATAACATTTAATCATGATTAATGGGTGAATTAGGGTTTATTTTCTTAATCAAACCATTGTTACCAAATGCAAAAATGAAAAATCAAAGAAAAACAAAAAGTTATTTATTGAGTTTTTAGTGTTTTAGCTGGTTTTAATTTCTGCAAAAACATTTCTAGTTTTGCAATATTTTTTCATTTTCAAATTACAAACAAATATTTTCGGCGCAAATTAATACACATAAGTCTGTTTTTACACCGTCTTTTTGTACACGGTTGTGATATAACACGGTTTGAAAATTGAATATTTTTAATTTATTTTACACGATTTTATTCCATTTAGCACAATTTGAAATTTTTGGTCTGTTCCCGTACTGCAAGAATCTACTCGATTTTACTATTTTCTTCGATACCATAAAGGAAAATTTGTTATCGTAGAAAAAAGTAGTAGATTCTTGCGTACTTAAAATTTTTTTTGTCAAATTTAATTTTTGCGATGTATGTTCATATTACAAAAAAGTATTTATGAAAGAAAAAAGTCTGAAGCCATCGATAGTATCGATAGTTTGCGAACACTAGCTTAAAGATTTAAATAGAATAGTAAAGAAATTTTTTGCAGGCAAATTTTATTTTCCATTAAATTTAATTTTAACGCATTAAGATAAAAGGTAAGCCAAAAAATATTTTGTATTTATATTACTTTTATGATTAGAGTGTATATATTTTTTATCATTAATTACTATGCTTGTGAAAATAAGCATTATATATTTGATTTAAAAAAATAAACATGAATTCTTGTTCTTAAAAATTCTTGTTTTTCACTAATTTTAATACCTTTTAGAGATTAGGAACAAATCAACCATTTTTGTATAAGATCAATGTTTTTTTTTACACGGCTTCTTCTGGATCCAATCTACCGTGTAAAACAGACATAGGTGTAATTTTGTATGTATACTAACAAACATCAGCTGATTGGCACTTAAGGTACGTTTAGATTTACGAAATCCACTCGATCTCAAATGTTAATTCAATTGCGTATACGTCAAATAAAATCCATTGGAATTGACGTTTGAGATCGGGTGGATTTAGTAGTCTAAACGTAGCCTTACATCATGATTAAAGGTATGTGTAAACAATGAGGGTGTATTTCTGGATTAAGTTAATCAATACGATTTAAAATCGTATATGTAAATATACTTTAAGGTTACCATACGTCCTCTTTTTTAGAGGACAATCATTTATTTTAACTGAATGTCATTTATAAAATATATGCCCTCTATCTGTCACCTCGATCAATAATTATTTTTGTAAAATAAAACATTAATAAATAAATATTATAAAATTTCAGTGAAAAATTTAGAAACGGTGTGCCCACATTTACGGCATTTTCCCACTGAATTATCCTCCTAAAAAATTATTAATTATTATTTTTGTTTTTTGAATTTTCAGGGTTTTTTGACACTTTTTGAAACCAAATGGGCTGTAATTTGATATTTTGGGTTCTATGTTTTTAGGTGTGCCCAATATAAAGAAATCCACGGAAATATGCTTTAAAAAGTGGCTGTAATTTACTATTCCTTGTGACCTATTGGTTGCAAAATGTCCTTGGAGAACATTGTCGACATAGGTCTACTTCTTCTACAGAGATCCCAAGATTATTCGCTTGGAACCAAAAATATTCCCAGTCGTAATTAACTACTTTTTTAACTCATTTTATCAGGGTACTTCTTCTTGTTTTGTGCTCATTTTACGAATGAATTTATGGCGATAAATTTTTTACCAAACGAGCATTCGCCACTGAATGTTCACACACACATAACAAACGAGTGAGAGCACACAAAAAATATCGTTCGTTTCGTTTGGTGGTGGAAATTTTTCTCACATTTTCTCATGAATGAAAACAAACATTCCCGAATTGTCGCGAATGCTCAAAACAGCCACAAGAACAACAACAAACTTTCGTGAACTCAATAGTTGTTGGACATGTGTTTTGTTATTCCACACACTTTCTGCGTGTGTGTTTTTTTATGCTATTATTGTTTCTTGTTGTTTTTAACAGTGCTCGCAAGCATTCGCGAGCATTTGTCTTTTGAGTTTGCAGGGTTTTACACTTATTGGGATTGGTGTTGAGAGTTTTTCTCTCTCTCATTGGTAAATTGAGAGTAATTAGAGTTGCGTTATTTTTAATTTTGTAACAAGCGTACTTTTTGTTCACAAAAGGTACAAATTGACAAAAACTTACCAAAAAAAGTAGATTTTTTATTATTCGTGAATACATTTACGCTTAAATTATAACATATATTATTTATCCAAATAACGGGTATAAATATTGGCCAATATTTCTCGATAATTATGATTTATTATCATTTGAAGTAAAAATGTAGGTATCTTTTCGTACTTTTTTGTTCCTACCTGTGGCAATGTTTTTCAACTATATTAATGAGAGAGAGAAAACTCTCAACACCAATACCAATCCCAATAAGTGTAAAATCCCGCTTTTTCAAAAGAATGTTCATCAGCAACAAATGCTCGCGAATGAACGAACCGACGACGCTTGTAGCGAAATTTTATTGTTTAATTTTATTTTTCGCACAATGCGAATATTTGGGAGAGATTGCAAATGCTTGTTCATTCATTGTAACTTTATTATTCTCGATAAATTGAAAACATTCGAATTCTTGCCGTGAGCATTCGTGAGAAAGAGCTTATTTAAATCATTCTTCGCACCCTGAATTTTATATATTTATAAGTAAATCTAAATGTACGTTTTATGTTTATAAAAAAAATACATTTTTTCTTTTTGTCATCTATCTTCCTTTTTTAGAATCTGGTCGCCTTACTTTAACTAGTTTTGCTATTAGAACAATATTGGTCTGTTCCAAAACCTGCAAGAATGTACATTTTTTACTACGATAACAATTTTTCCTTCATGATATCGAATAAATTAGCAAAAATTAGTAGATTATTGCAGTACGGGAACAGACCATATGTTTTTTATTGAACTACGTGTAAGCATATCATTCAACAGAGTTGTAGTCATGTAGTAATAATACAACTGTGTAAAAACCACTATTGAAAACAGCTGATTTTAAATACCGGTATTGATACCAACAACAAAATACGGGCTAAACAAAAAAATGTTTTTTCTTCTGTAACATAAGTTTTTCGGTTTTATTACGTACTTGTTTAAATTGTTTCTAGACAAATCGCGAAACGATTTAAAAGAAGAAAACAAACAAAAAAAACTGAAACGCGACGTCTGAAAAAATTTTTTTGATGCACCCGGAAAGATAATACTATTCTAATTTATTGAAAATAGTTAACAAAGAAAAAATCTAAATATAAGTGGTGAAATTGACAACGAAGTTAAAGTTCTAATACAGGAAGTGATTGCGAAAGAAACCGATAAAAAAAAACAAAAAAACGGAATAAAACCGCACCGACAAGGCCTTGAAAATGTTTAATGGTTAGCAGTGAATTAATAAAATGCTACCGAATAAAAAAACTAATCATAAATTATAGATTTTTCCAATAATTTCTTTACATCGTTGTTATGCATTGTTGTTATTATCCATTTAATCGTTTGTCATACAATTTTTTTCTTTTTTTGCACATGCCAACACATACTACGCACACACGCACAAACTTTCTAGTCAGCCACAACAGACAGACAGATACGTTCATGCATTCCACAGAGATTGATTGGTTGGGGATTTTTTTATTTTATAAATGAAATTGCACGTAACGTCATTGATTCGTTTCGTGATCTCGTTGTTTCCCTTTAGCCTACGATACACTTAGAAAAACTTATAATTCGTGACTGTAATTGTTATTATTGGTAGATGTGATAACGGTAATGGTGGGAAATAATCCGAACAAACATTTGCGGTTTACGTTGAACAGGGCAAGCTGCAAATATACCGATATATTTTTGGGAATGCAAAATAATAAATTTTATATGTAAGACTTCAAAAATTTCGGAAAGAACTCTAGTTTAGTAAAAACGATCAGAAAATTTTTCCAGAGGTAGGTATTTTTACCTTTCCATTGAGTAGTGATATGATGGGGTTATCTCAAACCGTTTTGGAGATAAAACTCCCTAAAAGTCGAACATGGGTCCATTATAGTCCAAAAGATACAAAACGGCTACGCAACAGAATTTCATTGTTTTTGTAGGGTTCTAAGGTCCATAGCTTTTGATCCACAACAGATACAGCCACATATCGCACAATTTTGGAAATGCCAAATTGTCTATAATTTTTTAATACATGACCGTATCTCCAAAACGGTTTGAGATATAACCGGGTACCCGTACCCTAATTTCCGGTTCAAATAACCGGGTACGTCTCCCATGGAAAAAAATAAAAATGCCTATCTCTGAAAAAAAAATCTGATCGTTTTTACTTAACTAGAGTTAACTCAAATTTTCATATGAAACAAACACAGTTAAAAAAATCAAGAGTACTTAGTGTTTATAAAGACCTAATAAGGACCTAGCAAAAAGTAAATACGTTGTTAAGTTCGGCCATTCCGAATTTTGTTGGAACAACTCTTGTTTGTATACCCTTCTACACATTGTGAGCAGGGTATTATGTTTGTAACGGGCAAAAGGAATATGGATAGACCCATGGTTCCTTTTGAGAATATGCATAGAATCACTTTCTGAGTCGATTTATGCATGTCCGTTCGTCCGTACATGTATTTTTGTGAGCAAAGTACAGTTCACATTTATCATCCGATTTAGATGAAATTTGGCACAGGACACTTATTTGGCCCAATGACGAATCCTATTACAATTGGATTGGAAAATCGTTTCAGATTTAGGTATAGCTCTCATATATAGTTTCATCCGATTTTATGTTCATGGAGCACCATACTGCCAATATTTGTCCGATTGAGAAATAATTTTGTACAGCGTACTGAATTAGGTCCATATTGATGTATGCGAATGGATCGCCATACTGTCAACGTTTGTCTGATTGAGAAAACATTTTTCACAGCGTATAGAAATTACAACAGGTTGACTTTCGTAGAGTTTTGTTGAAATCGGTTCAGCTTTAGAAAATCTGAACCCATATATGGTTTCGCCCGATTAAATTAATACAAATGGAGCACCATAATGTCAATATTTCTCCGATTGAAACCAAATTTTGCATAGAGTACTAAAAGAGATCCTGATTGATGTATGCGAAGTTTTGTTGGAATCGTTTCCGATTTAGATATAGCTACCGTATATAGTTTCCGATTGAGACAACATTTATTTCAATACCTTAGAACAATGACTGCAAATTTCTACGAAGAAAATGTTTACCCGTCAATGTTTACGCGGGTTAGAAAATTCGATTCGATCAAGACTTTTTGGGACTTTCATATCCCCCAAATTATACAAATTTTCCTACAAACTTTTTACAATCCAAACAATTTTTTATATGTCTTAATATTGTTTGAAGCATTTTTGATTTGTCCAGATAATTGGCTACCCCTTAGCATTGTTCTATGGACTTTGCCTTGCTTGTACTCTATCTATGTATTAATGCGCTTAATCATCATTTGGTTATTTGTTGTGTCGTTGCTACCGAGTAATTAGAAAAATGAATATTAAATGGACACAGCAGCAGCATCATCACGCCATTGCTATTCTTAGTGAAGCATTAACAAGTTGGGTTTGCTATTGCTATGTAGACGTATTGTTGCTCTTTTTGATAAGAGCTGTGGCTTCCCTATTACTGTGGCTTCCCTATTATTTGTAGGCAGCAGCGGTAGTAGTGGTAAAACTTATCTCTATAATATATGGCTTATTTACCGTATAATTTGATCCATTTTCGATATCGTCTAGTGAAAAGTACTAAGTCCATTTTATGATAAACAATAATAACAATTTTGACATTTGAAATATTGCCATTTGAAACAAGACAATATGTTTTATTTATAAACAAACGATTTAGTTCCAAACAACATTATTTTTTTTTAATAACATTTAATTGTTATTGAGTTTCCGATTTAGATTTGCGTTTTTTTAGGCTTGTTTTTTAGCTATGTAATATGTTTATATGGGTTTAAAGGTATTTTTATTACAAAAATAAATAAATAAGTAATTATAGAAACATTTCCAATAAGTCAATATGTTGGACAATTAGTGTAAAAAATTAAGATTGTTTAAAAACAAAAAAAAAAAAAAAAAACAGTAATAGAGTATGAATTATGGGGGGACCGTATGGACAGTTTTTTTCTGAATTGTAAATTTGAAATTTAATCTTGTATATCTGAATTTATGTTACTTCATCAAGCAAAAAATCAAATTTTGTGCTAGTGTCGTTTGCGTAGTATGGCTTTTTATAATAACTTTAATGATTCATTTTGCATTTCATACATATAATTTTGTGTCAATTATTTGGATCATGAACTATAAATAACATTACCATCTATATTGTAAAAATATACAAATAAAAATCCTAAAAATCAATATTCATATGTATATGCATATATTTTTAAAAAATCCACATATTTTAAATATCATCATCTTTTCCATTTCATTACTAGATTTAATGATGACTTAAGAGCTAACATTCACCAAATTACTCATGAACTAACTCGTTACTTGCATACCATCTGGTTTTGTTCATATACATATATGTAAATTGGAATGAAAAAGTGCAGCAATTATCATTAATATAATCATCACAATTATTCACAATGTCCTGGATGAATTTCGGTGTGATCGCTAGTGGTTTTGGTATTTAAAATAATATTAATAATAATTTAAATAAGTAGTTTGAAAGCATATTATGTATATATATATATATATATATGTATATTCATTATATTTATGTATATTCATTTATAGAAACATACTACCTTCCATCATAGTATATAAAAATATGACAATAGATTATAATTTTTAAAATGCCCTGGGATTGCGAAAAATGATATCTTCTTTTGACAGAATATAAATGAATATGTTTACAAACAAAGAAGATTATGTCGAATTTAATATACATGTTTATACATTTATTTATTTTTATTCAACAATATGCTTAACAAATTGATTTTTAGACTACGATTTGTTTGGAATTTTTTCAAAATTTATGAAAAGTGATAAAAAAATACTTAGTTTATGGTTTCTGTAAATCACAATAGAAATACGTGTTAAAATACGTCAACATTTTTATGTACAACATTTTCACCTATGGTGGAGGGCTAGGACTCTTCTCTTTTTCTCTTTCTCCGTTTCACATAGAATGGCCAATTAATTTATGTTGCCTTTTGTTTTTTTTTTCTTATATTTAGCTTTACAGCGACTACTGGGTGCCGATTATCCGCCCAATAAAGTATTAGAAATAAAAAGTGAATCTCTGGGATTACTACAGATTTTGGCACGCGATGAAGCCATGGTACTGTATGCACCACCATTTAATTCAAACGATAAGAAGACATATGAAATAGTATTACAAAGACCGCATACCGATTCCAATACTACGTCATTTAGTTTATTTCGTTCGCCATCGCAACAAGAGGCTGAAGATAAATTTAATGCCTTTTTACATCGTTTACCACTCTTTGTGTCTATAGTTAAAGAGGTAAGTCTAAATTTCGCATTTGATTGAATTTAATGGTATGGATATAAGAACAACTTTACAATAAGCCGCATACCATTAGGTTCTTTACCTTTCATGCTCTTACAACCGTTTTGTACTACCTATGTACATACATATTTCTAATAATACATTTATCAAATTTTTCGCACAGTTTTATAATGTCAATGGGCTACAAAAATTATGTGACATTTTATCCGATAATCCATCATGGTCTATAACCCATTTGGTGGCATATTTCAATTTAGTCGACTATATTAGTCATCCCAAAGTATTGCAGTTTATTGACTATGCTGATCATACCAATTATATGTCACCATTTCAAGTAAGTATTATAACATTTTTCACTTCGAAAAATTCACTAATTGTTCTTTTTAGTTGGCAGTTAAAACCGGAAATATTGAAATGGTCAAAGCTCTATTGCCGCTATGTAAAATGGAGCATTTGGATAACAACAGCAATTCAGTGTTTCATTATGCCGCCAGTACAACAAAAGAAATTTTAAATGTAAATCAATTAAAATTCAATTAAAATAATAAGAAACAAAAATAATTCCTTACGCTTATTTTTCCAGATTCTTATTGAAAAGAGCACAGTAAATCTTAATCACATCAATTCGGATGGCTATACACCACTTCATTTGGCTTGCCTTTCGGACAAACCGGAATGTGTCAAAGCTCTATTGCTTGCGGGAGCCGATGTTAATATTGAAGCGAAAAATATTAGCAAGTTATATAAAACATCCACACCAACTTCCGTTGCAGAATTTCTTAAGCAAAATGCAAATAAACTATATACCCAGGATATGAAATTCGGAGGCAGTCCATTGCATTGGTGTTCATCAAGGGAGACATTACATGCTTTAATAATGCAAGGATGTAATGTCAATGCTACCAATTTCGATGGTCGAACAGCCTTACATGTAATGGTGGCCCGGAATCGTTTTGAATGTGTAGTTACGTTATTGGCTCATGATGCTGAAATCGACGTGGTCGACAAGGATGGAAAGACACCATTACACATTGCCATTGAGCAAAAACTGGTGAATATTGTCCAGTGTTTAGTGGTGTTTGGCTGTGATATAAATAAAAAGAATAAAGATGGAGTAACACCACGTCATATGGTGGGTAGTGATGCAACCGGAAGTAAAACTGATGAGATTCTATATATTTTACATTCGGTGGGAGCGAAAAGGTAATTTAACACAATATTCGTTAAAATAGCTAAATGTATATTAACAAATGAATATATTTTTAGATGTACTGATCCCAAAAGTAAATGTCCACCCGGCTGTCATCCCAATGGAACATTTAATGGCATACCGCCAGAAGCCCCTGAATCTGTAGAAAAACGTGAACACATTGAAAATATGTTGGCTTCCACTAGCCGACAGTCAGCTGTGGGAATGTTGGCAAATGCTGCAAATGGTTTCCTCAATGACATGAAAGAGTAATTAGGATCTCATTTGTTTATTGAGATATATAAATTATTTTCATATATGTTTTATTTTATAGGCCACCAGTTGTGGTTAATACTGAAAAAGTTGAAAAAGGACAAAGCATTATGGACGCTTTATTGGCAATGTTTAAAGTTAATGCCGATTCGAAAAAAGGTAAGCAATTTCACACTTCTTTTTGTAATATGATATATTTCAATCAAAACGTGTACTTGTTTCTAGGATCTCCAACGGGTAGTATGGATAATGTGAATTCTATTGAAGGCGATGCTACTTCCATGCGTGGTTCACCCGATGCTACTTCTTCAAATCTTTCCCTACATTCGGCTATTTCACATCAGAAAGGCGATAAACCATACGGTCGCGGACGTCTACTATGTTTGGATGGTGGTGGTATACGTGGCTTGGTACTTGTACAGATCCTATTGGAAATTGAGAAAATTTCCCAAACACCCATTGTCCATTTGTTCGATTGGATAGCTGGAACTAGTACGGGAGGTATATTGGCATTGGGTCTTGGTTGTGGCAAAACAATGCGCCAGTGTATGGGATTATATTTGCGAATGAAGGAACAGTGTTTTGTTGGATCCCGTCCCTATCCAAGTGAAAATTTCGAATCAATCTTAAAAGATAATTTAGGCGAATTTACCGTTATGACCGATATCAAACATCCTAAGGTTATGGTAACCGGTGTAATGGCCGATCGTAAACCAGTAGATCTTCATTTATTCCGCAGCTATCAATCTGCAAGTGATATTTTGGGTATAGTAACACCCATAAGTAAGTTTTAATTTTGTTATATTGTGTTTTCACCTTTGGGATATTTATAAATAATTGAATATTACAGCAAATCGTCGCATTCCACCACCTGATCCCAAAGATCAACTTGTATGGAGGGCAGCTCGTGCTACAGGTGCAGCTCCGTCATATTTTAGGTATGATTCTATAAAATCAATGTGCTAAGCAAATTCTAATCGAATTTCATAATTTATTTATTATAGGGCTTTCGGAAGATTTCTTGATGGCGGTTTAATAGCTAACAATCCCACCTTAGATGCCATGACTGAAATACATGAATATAATATGGCTTTACGTAGTGTTGGCCGTGAAAATGAAGCTGTACCGGTAAGATATGGCCTAATGTGTATATATAATAATATTCAAACGATATAGTTGGACGAGGTCAAACACATTTAGCATATGACTTTAACTCTCCATAGAACCAAATGACGATTAAAATTTTAAACTAGATTTGAACTTATATTGAAGTTCTAATTAGTCATAGAATAATGATCAGTTCCAGCAACTTTAATAATCTTCCATTAATTGAAATTTTCTTCGATTTTCCTTTTATAAATTTAAAAAGTTTTACCACTTTTTGAGAACTAGCGTCGTATATAGAGGAAGTGTGTAAAAATTTGCCTATTCGATGGTTTATATTTAAGTTTAATTTAATATTTTTTTGATATTATAAGTTCATCGACAAAAATAAACTATTATTTTTGTAGAAAGTAAAATATCCATCCAAACTGTTGAATATATGGGTTGAATCGCAATGAATCTTCAAATTCTCTTTTACAACAAATGAAACATCTCCCTAATTATTGTTCTTTGATACATCAACTATTTCTTTTTCTCCTAGGTTTCTGTTGTAGTTTCAATTGGAACAGGCTTAATACCTGTTACTGAATTGAAAGATATTGATGTTTTTCGTCCAGAAAGTATTTGGGATACAGCAAAATTGGCATATGGAATTTCAACAATCGGTAATGCTTTTTATTAAATAAATATTTGTAAGTTGTTGTTGTAATAAAGCATTTGTTTAAATAGGTAATTTGCTTGTCGATCAAGCAACAGCCTCGGATGGAAGAGTCGTCGATCGTGCTCGTGCTTGGTGTAGTACAATTGGTGTTCCATATTACAGGTATTTAATTTTTTAGTTATTTCAATCAAGTGTTTTTTACATTTCTTTGCTGTTTCAGATTTAATCCACAACTTTCGGAAGATATTGCCATGGATGAGAAAAATGATCAGAAATTAATAAATATGCTATGGTGTGCCAAAGCCTATGTACATGCGAATCGAAACAAAATTATTGAAATGATAAATTGTTTGAAATAGCATATACGACGAATTTAGACTGCACATATATCAAACTACGCTTTAATAGCTGTTTCGATATTACAGCGAATATATTTATTTTATTGAAGTAAGATCTATAATAACATAAACGGTAATTTTATCATCCAAAAAAATTCAAATTTATATTACACAAGAGTAATCTAAACTAAGCGTATTTAATGGCAGGATGATGTCGGTCTAAATTCGTATGATTTAAAAGAATGAAATATAACTGAAATCAAGGTATTCCAAAGTTTATTTATCACTTTTCTGTTTATTCTTCTGAGTTCAATAAAAATACATACCATTTTAATTATACACAAGTTCAGTGAAAAGAACATGATTAAACGTATTTAATCTTTATTTTTATTTAAACTTGAATTGTTTCCTTTCAATTTATTTTAAATTGATATTGTTTGGTTTATTATTTTCAGTCCATTGAAATATATACATTTTTGTTTTAATAGTATAGAAATCAAATATATTACTATAAAAACTTCATTGCTAGTATACAACCTCTCTGAAATTCAAAGAACTCATACACTTTCAATAAAGTAGTTTAAGAAGGAATTTGGCCAAAGAAAGTCATTAGTCAACACACGCGTTTCATTATTTTCAAGTAATTGTTTTTTTAATTCATTTTACCCATCATCCTTGCTATTAATAATCATTAGAATTGAATTTATGTGTGGACACCTCAAAAGTACTTTAAAGAATTCTCAATAACTTCATTTAACAGATATTCCATTTGTTACATGCACCCTAAATGTATTATTTTTTTATTTATGACACAAGTTCGTAATATTTCAAGCCATCCTTCGGTTATTGTAGATTAATGTAAAAATCTTAGTTCGTCTAAATTTCAATTTTATTTCTAGTATAGAAATAAATATTTATTTGGTTTTTAAATTAATTTGATTTTTACAAAAAATAAAAAATCATAGTTATTATAAAAAAATAAATTATTTCCACTATACAATGTAATAAAATTTCAGTAGATTTAATATTCATAAAACTACAATAAAATTTGTATGAATTCATAAAAACGTAATTTTGTTTTAATATGGGTTATAACACATTTGAAGAAGAAATTACTCTATTATGGATGAAACAAACATTTAGTAATATTCGCAACAACTCAATTTTGGGAAGAAAACATGACGTTTCATTAAATTTGCGCATTTTGTTACGTATATATATATATATATATATATATTTATATATTCCACGGTGTATACCTTTCGTTATTCCTATCCACAAATCCAGTGGATTATATTTGACGTATACGCTATGGAAATGACATTTTTAGATCAATATATCCAATTCGATTATGCGCACACTATAAATTTCGATTTGCTTATAATTTCCTTAACCCGAGCTGTGCTAGCGTGACCATATGGTCACACTCATGCTATTCCTAAGCCCGTGGGCGTATACTTTTTAAACTTTTTGGTCGCGTCCTTCTTGTCCGCCGTCCGAAGACGAACTGGGTTTATTTTCTTAATCATGCTTTTTCCATGATTTATCATACAAAATTAAATCATCGTAAATCATGATCGAAATTATGATACTACTGCGATGCAACGCAGGTTTTGAACGAAAAAATACAACTCTCGCTTAATGTACTGAAACTTGCAACTGTTTTCACATGTTGTTTGTCTTTAATTTTAACGGTTGCCAAATACAAACATGAAAGATCAAAGGAAAATAAAACCTATTTCTTAGAACTTTTGTGATTTTAGGTGTTTTATTTAAATTTTCAAACAATCAGCATTGCAAAAACATTTCCATTGGTGTAATTCTTCTTTTTATTTTCAAATTGCAAACAAATATTTTGCAGCAAATATCAGCTGATCGGCATTTAGATCATGATTAAAGGTATGTGAAAACAATTAGGGTGTATTTCTGAATTTCGTTAATCGAGTCGATTTAAAATCGTATATGTAAATGTACTTTTATACGCTGTTGAATTGTCATTTAAAATTGAATGGATTTCGTAAATCGAAGTACCCTTTTAGCATACCTAGTCTAAACAAGCTTTAACTTTTTAAATATGGTCTTATGTAAACGTACATATATTCCCACAACGTTACAGCAAAACAACCTTTACGTTTAACTACTTGTGGAGTATGCAATAATATTGCTATCTCTTTCTCTCGTTAACTTCGAAAATAACAAAAGGGCCGACACATTCTTTGTTTACAATACCTACCGCTTGTTTATAAATTAATTAATTTATATATATTGATACATACATATAGACAAAACAAAAAAGTAAAGTACTAACAAAAAAATCGGAGTCTGGGATTTAGTTATTAGTTATCAACGTTAAAGGAAAGGCATTGGCACAATGTCCGGCACAATATTGGAAAATCTAAGCGGCCGTAAACTTTCCATATTGGTGGGTCTGCTACTTGTCTGTCAAGTGATATGTTTCTTGTTGGGTGGTCTGTTTGCTCCGGTACCGGCAGGCCATCAAAATATTTTAGGAATGGTGTGCAAGGACAAACCTCAACGACAAAATGACACTACTTTTTGGCTGTACTCACGCGGCGCCGGACAATGTGCATCCATATCACAGGAAGAAATCGAACAGCACTATACTAAAATGGCCAATGAAATCGTGTATTTATTTCAAATGCCGCTACCAAGAGATGGCAAGCAGCTGGATTATTCGCGTTGGCAACAAAATCTTATTGGCGTCTTACAAGTGGATTTGGCCTATTCCTCTGAAGTGGGATTGGTGGAGCCACCTAAAGAACTTAAATTGACAATTGATGCCCGCTTGGCATATCGAAATAAGCAAGATGCTCCCAACGATTGGAAATTGTACGCACGTTCGATAGAAGAACGCTATCTGGATTGTCATCCTGTTCACACTAGTCAGCAGGAAACATTATATTCTTGTGAAATGATACCCCTCTTTGAATTGGGGGCCCTTCATTACGACTACTATTTGTTGAATTTGCGTTTCCCCATCGATACCGACATGCGTATGAATTTGAATATTGGACATATGCACGATCTTACACTGACGGCTATTTATCAAAACGGAGGCTTCACCAAAGTCTGGTTGTCCCTAAAAACGGTGCTGTTTCCCTTTATCGTTGGCATAATGATTTGGTTCTGGCGTCGTGTTCATATCTTGCAAAGATCCCCAGCTCTGCTGGAATATATGCTAATATATTTGGGCGGTGCTTTGACATTTTTAAATTTACCCTTGGAATATTTAACTCTTGGTATTGAAATGCCCTACATGTTGTTAGTAAGCGACATACGTCAGGGAATATTTTACGCAATGCTATTGTCGTTTTGGTTAGTTTTTGCCGGAGAGCATATGTTGATACAGGAATCGCCCCAGAAGAATTCTATACGCTCACGGTACTGGAAACACTTGTCTGCCGTGGTAAGCTGTTGTTTGTTCCTGTTCATTTTCGATATCTGCGAACGAGGTGTACAATTGCGCAATCCTTTCTATTCGATATGGACCACCCCGATTGGATCGAAAGTTGCACTCAGTTTTATTATACTGGCTGGCATATCTGCTGGTGTTTATTTTATATTTTTGTGCTATATGGTTGGAAAAGTATTTCGTAATATTGGTGCCAAAAGAACCTCATTGCCGTCAATGTCCCAGGCTCGCCGTTTGCATTATGAAGGTGAGTTAAAATCATTTGTAGTTACCACCAAGTTTTCGGTGAAATTGCCAATTTGCAAACTAAAAATTAATTTATTTTCTATTTCAGGACTCATTTACCGTTTCAAGTTTTTAATGCTGGCCACATTGCTATGTGCAGCATTGACAGTTATTGGCTTTATCATGGGACAGGTGGCCGAGGGACACTGGAAATGGGATGAAGACATTGAGATCCAATTGACATCGGCATTTTTGACCGGCGTTTATGGAATGTGGAATATCTACATATTCGCATTGCTTATTCTGTATGCCCCTAGTCACAAGCAATGGCCCTGCGCAAACTCTAATGAAACTTCACAATCGAATGAAAATATTGTAGCAGCTGCTGCTAATGAAGAAATAGAATTTAACAATTTGCCCTCCGATACAAATCCAAGCGAAATATCATCACTTACTTCCTTCACGCGTAAAGTAGCTTTTGATTAAAGAAAATGCTACATGATGCATTTATATGGATATTCATTAAGATATAAAATTGATATTGGGCTATCTTTCTTGAGCTCACACAACATATTTAATATTATAATAGAATTTGTAGTGTGTAACGAATTAAAAGCCGGTTAGCGATATAAATTATTTGTAGATGTTGTAGTTTTATAGGCTAATATCGCTCTAAAAATATAAGTGGATAAAAAGGAACTCATTTCGATATTATTGGGAAAATTTAATTGATTTAATATTTTTTATAGTTATGATCTATAAAATGCAACAACTAAGCTTCCACAAACACAGCTTTTATTTACATGTAATCAATTAAAATTTAAAACTATTTGGTTTTTGCAATGAAGTCCTTTATGAGAACGCAGTCTTTAAATTTCAATTTTTGTGCCAATTTAAATTCTTAAAAATTTTAACATGTATATTTTCATCAGTATTATCAACGAATGTAATTCTATATTACCTTTATTATATAAACACTAAATACTTAATTTTATTGTAGTTTTTCATCTGTGTATGACAACATTTTTGTAATAAATTAAGCATAGAAACTATTGGCTTGTTGTTTTTTAATTTAATATGCAAGAAAAAGGTGATATAAAAGTTTTATGAAATAAATTAAACCGAAGAATGAAGTAACAGAAGAGTGTCGTATTGGAATGCCGAGCCATGTGCAAGTTCAACTTTTTTCTAAAAAAAATGATTTGACCTTCTATGTTTTTAATCTCCTGTTGACGATTATATGTATATTTATTTATTAGAACATCAACATCTATATGAAGCCTTCAGTCCTGTTAAGAGGATAAATCTTCCTTATTAATATTTTTGCTCTTGAGTTAATTAGAAGTAGATATTCAAAACATATCCGACTAAATAAAAAAAGTATTCAAATAATTTTACGAAATGCTTTTAATTGTCTAGTAACTAAAACATATTCAAAACATAATCAACCATCATTAGATAATTTATATGGTCTTGGACAAGATATCACTGGCATTGGAATTAATATTGTTATGAAAAAATTACCATTTTTGGGTACGGGCTGTTCTGTTAGAAATTTGGCTCTATCTGGTAGTTTGGTTAACAGTTCCATAATATTCGATTGTACTTCATTTTCTGTTGTGCCATCTGTTTCAGATTTATCTTTAGGCTAAAAAGAAAATGTAAATGTTTAAAAACTAAACAAAAACCATATGTATATATTTTAATTACTAAAAGTTTTTGGAGTTTTGTTAGAGACACACTAAAATCTTCTGGCAGTATCTTAAATGGTTCCACATCAAAAATATGTATTCCATTTTCTTCGTTATTAAGAAAATATCTTGCAAAACGATTTCTTAATTTCTTTTCTTCAATATTAGTATATGATTTCTTTAATTTGACCAACCATCGAGTAAAAATGTATTTTTCTCGGGTATTATAATTATCCATAAAACTTTTTAATTTCTCGACAATATCATTGAATTCCATATCAAGATCTGAAATATTTTCTAAACTTTCTGACATAGTATATAACAATTTTGGCTTATTTTAAATATTAAACAATAAATTTATAATAATTTTTTAGGGAAGTACAGTTTCGAATTTATGACAGTTAAATTTTGGTAACTACAATTCCGATTAATAGAATATTTTTGTAGCAGAGCAGATAATGGTATATTCCAGTACTTCAAGAATCTACTATTTTCACTTGGATAAAAATTTGTTTCTTTATGATATCGAAAAAATAGTAAAGCTAGTAAAAGTATCAAACTCGCTCTCAGAGTGCAAAATAATTTGAAAAGATCTGGAACGGAAATCTAGTAAATATGTAAATATTATGTGGCAATACTTCAAAATCAATATAACAGTCAATCAGATATAACAGTCCTGTTTACCATTTTTACTCGGACAAATTTTTCGAGTAAAAAGTTTACAAGGAGAATGTCATTTTGTTTTATGTTCTCTTTAATTTGGTTCAAAGTTTTACTAGTTTTGCGAATTAAAGAACGTTTTTCGAGTAAAAAGTTGCAGAACTTGTAAATTTAGTAGATTATTGCTTGTTCAGGAACGGGACTATAGCTACCAACTGATTCAAATTTTTTCACTAGTTGGCTTGTTCCATGGCACAATGAATGGGTAGTCCATTTAGAGCAACTGATGTTTTGATTAATGTCAAAGTGAGTAATTTCTACTTGAATTCGATGTGGAATATTATAAGGAAAATTTTGAAAGAAGGTCGAGACAAAAACAAGGTTTTTTATTTTAATACATCACCTTATTATTGCATCATGGCTTGTTCGATCCAAGGCCTATAAATAAGGTCTTATAGGGAGACGAGCTGGATATCAGCTGCCTCATAATTTAAATTTTTTCAAATTGTGGCTTGTTGTTCCAAAGTGTTATACAAATGGTCTGTTCCCGTACTGTAAGAATCTGCTACTTTTTAAAAGTAGTAAATTCTTATAAAAATGTGTGACTGTGTGTGTAATGTTTTGAAATATATAAAAAATATATTCTAAAATCAATTGGATTACAAATGAATTTTACAACATTATAAGAAAAAATTTATGATTTGCAGATTAATCATATTCCCAACTCGATTTTGAAAAGAAAATTTGTGTTTATCGTAAAATGTTAAAAATGAGTCAAATGATTTTGACACTATAACCCACAATGTAGAGGCGTATTTTGCCTTTGTTTACAAAAGATAACATAGCTTGTATAATTGTACCATGGCACATAAAATACACAAAACTTTGTTCTGGTTATTTTATATTTCCAGCAAACTGAATTTAATTGCATTAATTAGAAATTTAATTTGATAACAAATCACAAAGTCTGCTTTTCCACAGGCAGATTTTTATTTGGCAAATTTTTTGTTTTCTCTTTTGAAATTTTCGCTTGCTTTTCCATTAGCAAATTTTTCTTTGCCAAATTTGCGAATCAAAATACAAAAGAAAGAAAATAAAAGTCAAAAGTGTTTTCATTTTAAAGATTTTTTTTAATATTTTATTTATTTTTTATATATTTTATTATATAAATTGCAAAAATTAAAAATTAAATTTCACTTGCACAAATTAAAGCAACAGGTTTGTAAACAAAAGCCGGCTGTGTGTCAGTAAAGCGAATAGGTTCAAAAGGAAAGCAGAATTTGCGTGTACGGCAAATTCTGAACAGGCAAATTTTTGTTTTTCTTCCTCGCACCGCTCTCGCCTACAAACTCAGTATTTGCCAAATAAAAATTTGCCTGTGGAAAAGCAGACAAATCAGAAATGACGTGTCCTTAGTGCAAAGTGTTTCATGTAAACATAGCCTAAAATATAAACTTGACGGCGTTCATAGCAAAACCCCAACGGCGAATATCAATCAATACGGCGACACGATACTGATGTCAAATAAATAAACGTCATCATCGCTTTATTTTTTATTTTTATTAAGATAATTACTTCAATTCTAAGCATAACTGAGCAAAAATGTTTACTTTGTGGACTTTAGTGGAGGCTTCCTTATTGTGTCTAAATGCCGTATGCGTTCTACACGAAGAACGGTTTTTGGCCAAATGTAAGTATGCTATGAATGAAAGTGAACCTTTATTGCAACTTGTATATTTACCTTTCAGTCGGATGGGGTGGTCAACAACAAAATACCGAGTTCGGACAACCAACTGCTAAAGCCCAAATTCTGAATTTAGTAAGATCTATCCGTACTGTGGCCAAAAGTAAGTATTAGGTGTCTTCTTTTATCAATGATGTATGTCATTAACATGTCTTGTTTTATTTCAGTTCCTTTAATATTTCTCAACATTATAGCAATAATATTTAAGTTATTACTAGGCTAATAATTTGCATTATAAATAGGTCAAATAAAATAATACATGGTTTTTATAATTTACATGTGTGTTTTTCTTTGTAAAACCGATTTAACGCGATTTTCTAAAGCTATTGAATAAGCATCCAGTTTGTAGGCAGCGGCTTCCAATTTGTCTACAGTATCGGAAATTTCGTCAATTTGCTGCATTAATGGGACCTGTATATAATAATAGTAACATTGTAATTATTTCAACAAGTATATTTGAATTGCTTACCAATGCCTGGAATTTTACACTCAAATCTGTTGTGGAAACGGCCAAGTTTTGTGCAATTTGTCGCATATCTGAATATTTCCCGATTGTGGCACGATTCATATTCTCCAACAGTTGGTAGTCTTCAATGGGGGCCTGCAGTTCATTAGTTATATATTCCTCCGTTTTACGGAACATTTTGGTTGCCAGTTTACTCAAATTCGGATCATGAGGGTCCAGAGCTTCGAAACTACTTGTGCTAGTTGATAATGTTGGTCCTCTAATGGGTGAATCCAATTGTGGATTATGTGATGTCTGTTGTTCGGAATGTTGGACTTGCTCTCTGCTATTAGTTCCAGAGTTCGTGGTGGAGGCTTCATTGGACATTTTGATAGGTTTACGGACGTTTACAAATCAACTTTTCAGTATTTTTTCCTTTTTGTTTTTATTTAGATACATTTATCGATGTGGAACTTATCGAAAGAATCTAAATACCGATAAAAAACTGATAGAATCTCTGCAGTCGTTTTTCCCAACGAATACTTTCGCTTATGCCACGTTTGCACGGGATTTTGAATGAGATATAATAATTATCGGAATAGCAAACAAAGTATTAAAAAAAATAAAATTTAAGATTTTGTCACCATTAAACCAAATACCTTGGGATCTTCTATTCATTTGCGATTTCGAAAATGTTTATTTTTGGGACTGGTCGCGAATGGTTTTAAATAGTCTTAATATCCCTGATTACAACGAGATGGTCTGCCAAAGTTTCGTAATCATCCTTATATTTTCCCTGCTTTTAAAAATTCTATAAAACGAAATGGGTAAGAATCATGGCAACTTGAAGTGTATAACAAAGGTAGTGGCTTCTTCTGTCAAAAATACATAACATACGCAACAAATGGTTGTGTTGATTTGTTATTTTTTTAGCACATATCTCAAGGCGTATTTAATAAGGTGTAAGTGACAATCATATGGTTTTAAACTTTTTTCTTTATTGTTTGTAAAGTAAATTGTCAAAAATATTTGCCAACGTTTCATTTCGATTCAAAATATTGTCTTTTGTTTTCGATTATTATTTTTTTTATTAATAAAAGTGCAATAATAATGAATTTATAGGGACGGAATATTTGTTAATGGGCCAAGTGACGACAAGGAAGCGTGAGCTTAAATCAGTTCTAAATCCGGCCGCTGATTTGTTCCACATATTTGCCGCAAGTACAACTTGGGTTCCAGATTGCAAATATACATATGTATATATGTGTTCTTATGATCGATTTAATACCAAAAGGAGATTGTTAAGGAAAAGGAAATCTGCCCCTAAATTCACTGTTTCCCTCAAAATAAAGGAAATTGTGTTATATAGCTTGTATTAGAATTTTTCCATTAGTTTTCTACAAACGCCTGGCTAAATACAATTTTTTTACAATTTAAAATGAGATTATGTTGCGTAGTCTATTGACAGATTGCATACGGGTTTGTGGTGTTTGACCGGGGATTTATGTCCTACAATTTTTCTACCAAGAAGCCACTTCTTCGAAAATTATATTGTAATTTAAAATATAAGCAAAATCCCAAGGAACCAAGGTTTACATGTGGGACACTTTTCAAAATTATTCGACCTGAAGAAATGTATAATTGTTTTTATTTACTTTTGTCAAAACCTATTTGTCAGCATGACAATTTCTATAACAACAATATTGTTTTTGTAAAATGTTTGTTTTGATTTTATAGAACAACCCAGCTAACAATCAGAGTTTTTTTCGAATTCGGAACGAAACTCTTCATAAGTTTCCGATTTTGATGTCCAATTCGTACTGAAATCGGAAAGAAATTGTATGAAGGTGTTCACAAATACGGAAAGTTTTGTCGAAAAAATCGGAAGAAACATTTGAATTTCTTTACTAATTCGTTTAGAATTCCCGGAGAAAAAATGAGAAATTTTGAGGAAATTTTCAATTTTTGGCGCAATTTCGGACAAAATAATAAGATTTTCTCGGGCATTTTTTCAGAAGTTCAAATACGTATGATCCGAAACTTGGAAAATACTACTAATTTGGAAAGTTTTATTCAAAAATCTTAAAAAAAATTCTGGTGATTTTTATGAAATTCTGGCATTTATCGCATGCTTGAATCGAAACTCTGAACAACTAAACAGAAGCCAAAAAGAGAAAAATCAAAACAATCTATATCCGTATACAAACTTTTTTAGATTTCTCCAAAAAAGGGTAGAGAATGTGGAAAATAAAGAGTTAACTCTCTGTTTAAATGTCATTTTTGTAAACAAAACCTAGAATTCTTCAAGATTGTAGTTACTATCATTCCGCTCTATGGATAATAAATCTTTCGCCCACATCTTAAATAAGTACACAACTCTAAAAATTGGATTTAGATATTTTACACACAATAATCACAAAAATTGTCATACTCTTGCAATCCAAAAGTACCTCAAAAAATCCCATTTGAATTTCAAATATCAGATCGTTGAAATTTCTTCTAAGATGTTTTATTGTCATATTCAAAAAATTTGCTGACAATTAAAAAAAAGACATTATTCATTATATTCTTCACAACTACTTTGCCTTGTGTGCAACTCACACAAAGTGAGATATTGCAAACATCACATAAAAATAATTTTATTTTATCTGTCATATAACTAGAACGCCAAACAAATATCATATGGGAAAATAAACCAAAGGCATTCTTTATGAATTGATTACATATGTATACATATGTATGTATGTACACATTTTAAATATGATTTTATATAAAAAAAAAACAAATAAAAAATAAGTATGACCACGATAAGATATGCGATTATGGTATACAATGAAAATAGAGCGTTTAATATTAAACTAATGCGGTATGGTTATAATTATTGCACATTCATTATAAACAGATATTCAACGAAAGCAAAAACACCACAGATAGTACAGTGTATTTCGCATTTCCCACAAAAGTCCCCAACCAATTCAGAGAAATCGTTATTCTTCGGCCTGTTGCATTCATTGGAGTTAGAAAATAGTTCGCTATCAGAAGGAAACCGTATTAACATGTCTTTGCTTAACGAGGAACGAAATTTAACAAATCTGTTCGATGGCACTGATTGGAATGTCTACCAATCGAAATTATTAAATTTGGGTGTTGGAGCCCCTGGTACGGATTTATTACAATATTGTGGAGATATTTTTTGCAAGGCTACGGAACATCGTATGGTTGGTATTGTATACGATTAAAATTAAATTATTCTATAGATAAATCGTTTGTAGAAAATCGACAAGGAAGAAAATTCGTCCATGTTATTTCAATATGGCCCGACTTCTGGTCCCTATGAGGCAAGATTTGAAATTGCGAAATATTTTACAGAAATGTATGGATCAGAAGTGAAGTGGTACGTATAATGCAATAAAATAATTATATATACCTACTGGACTCACACAATGTGCCTATACGGGTTTTCAGTGAAGATTTGATTATTACCAGTGGAGCTTCCCAAGGTCTTCAAGTTATACTATCGACGTTGGTCGATTTAAATGGTTACGTGTTTGTGGACGAATTCACATACATGCTAGCATTAGATACTATGAAACAGTTCCAAACGCTTAATATTGTGCCGTTAAAATTGAACGAAAATGGAGTTGATTTAGTGGAGCTTGAAACTCACGTGAAAGAGAAGCAATTTAAGAGTAACAAAAAAGAATTCTGGGCCATGTATTATACAATACCTACATATCACAATCCAACTGGCATACGTTTCTCCTCTGAAGTATGTCAAGGTTTAGTTCAATTGGCAAGGAAATATGATTTCCTAATAACGTGCGATGATGTCTACAACATTTTAAATTATAAAGGAGTGTGTGCGCCAAAAAGACTATTCGCTTATGACGTGAAAGATGATATCGATTATAAAGGTCATGTCATATCAAATGGTAGTTTTTCAAAAATTTTGGGTCCCGGCGTCCGTTTGGGTTGGATGGAGGTGCCAAGGAGAATGAAAACTTTATTGGATTCCTGGTAAATATGTAAATATGAATATAATTTATTATGTTTATTTACTATTTATTTTTCGTAGTGGAATTATCAATAGTGGCGGATGTTTGAATAATTACACATCTGGCATCGCGGCAAGTTTATTCCATCTTGGACTGGCACAACAACATATTGAGCGCATGTTTAACGCGTACAAGGAACGAATGTTAGCTACATGTGAAGTATTTGAGAAGGAATTGCCGTCAGGTTGTCAAATGATAACTCCTGAAGGTGGTTATTTCATATGGATTTCTATGGGGGAAAATTTCAATGCATCCGATTTTCTTAAAATGTGTATGGAAGAAGAAAAAATCTTTTTCATTGTTGGATCAAGATTTTCCCTGAATCCAGAAAAGGGACAAAATAGCTTCCGGATATCTATAGCATTTCATAGTAAAGAAAAACTTGTTGACGGTGCCAAAAGAATTTGTCGATGCCTTAAGAAATATATGAATAAAGAGAATAATTAATGTTCTATACAGTACAAATAATGTTCTATCCTGTACATAAAATAAGTATAGTAATAAATTAAAATTAGCCAATTATTGGAGTTTCTGGAACAAAGGATGTGTGTATAATGTAATATTTAAACAAAATAAACCTAAACTAATATATGATCTGTTCTCGTACTGCAAGAATAAACATTTAATATTTTCTTCGATATCATAAGGAAAATTCGCATCGTAGGAAAAGGAAGTAGATTCTTGCAGTACGGGAATAGACCAATGTTTTTTTTTACTTTTTGTATCATTTATTATCACAAAACAATGTTCGTAGGTGTTATCAATTTCAATGTCAAGCTCTATATGGGCCGAACACTGTGTTGCTTCTCTCTGTGTCGTCTCATATCTACATTACGCCAAAATTTCTCAGGACATTCCGTACATTTAACCGACTTTCCGGTTGTATGTATGGCCAAATGTTGTTTTAAATGACACAATTGTGTGAACCGCTTTGAACAGACGTGACATATATGCTTACGTTCATTCTGGTGCAGACTAAGCACATGCTTTTTCAAGTGGTCCACTGTTGCAAATTGTTTATCACACAATTGACAAGTGTGTTTTTTAAACGTGGCGTGAATATTACGAATATGTTGTTTTAGGTTCAGTGTCGAAAGGAATTCTTTTTTGCAGTAAGGACAACGTATTGGATTGGCTGCACTGCTTTGTTGGCATTTTATTTTTTTGTGTTCCTGATAATCGTTGAGAGTAGAGAATACTTTTTTGCAACCATGACATACTAATATAGGCAGCTTGTGTATTTCAATCAAATGCTTAAGTAACATGGGCATTTTGTGGAATCTTTCTAAACATTTTGGACAGGAAAACTCTTCTGTTGGATTTTCATTATTAGAGAAGTTACTGGAATTTCCTTGTAGCATATCAGGGAGATGCAGATCTAAAGCTTCCCAACATTCTGAGAATTGAAAAGAGTTTTCATTGGTATGAGCTAATAAAAATTCATCCAAAAACTCCTCGTGCATTTCTAAATCCATATCATCGTCAGGCAGTGTCTCATGGACATCAGTGCCAGCATCAGCGTTACATTTCAATGTGTGACATTCGTCAATATGCGATCTAATATCCTCCTCGGTTGGCAAAACTGTTAATTGTTCACATTCTCCACAATAGAAATGCAGATACTTATGGTTGTGAACGTCATGAATGTGCCTTGATAGGTATCCCTTGGACACAAATGTTTTGTCCTTGCAAATGCAACAAGCGAATTCCTGTCGAGTGTGCTGTAGACTTTTATGGCTACTCAATGATTTAGCTTCTTTATAACACAAATGACAAAATTTGCAAATAAAAATTCCATCAGAAATTTTTTCCTTACAGCATACTTCTTCATGGACACGAAGATATTTGTATGACTTGAATGTTTCCTGACATTTCAGGCACCGGTAAATACGAGAACTTTTACGATTTAGTGGCACATCGGTAATTTTATCTTTTGGTTTCAGCGTCTTTGGTAAAATTGGTTTGAACCTTGGCCTTTTTGGGGTAGTTAATTTTTCATCAGGGTTTTGAGCGGGGTATGATTGCTGTTGTTTCACTTCTTCGTCTGTACTGTTTCGCAATGATACCGTACACCTTTTTATTTGTTGTATAAATTCAAAACATACTTTTAATTGTGCTAAACATTTCCCACATATGGACCAATTGTCATCCGGTAGTATCTTTTAAAAGTGGTATATTTTATAATTGTATCATTCAAAAGTTAAAGGTTTTACTTACTGTTATAATTTCGTTACAGAAAATCTTGATCATATCTCCGATTAGAACCCTTTGACCATTGGAAACTTCAACACATTCACTTTTTTTCATTGTTGTGATACCTTTATTTGTATGGCCGCAAAACGAACAGCAGGACATATTTTGAGTCAAGGAATGTTCATACGGTGACCCAGTAAGCGGGTCCATGTTGGTTGTCTACCTTCGCTGTATATGTTTTGTTGTGAGGAATCTAGCAAAAAAGGATAAGGATAGCTAAATAAAAATAACAAATAAAAGTAGATTCCATAAGGTAAATGCAATTTCAATATCTGCAATTTCTTACAACAAAAGTGCTGTGGAGTTGGACACGTCAAAATGATTATGTAAAACGTATATATAATTTTCATTTAGAAAATTTGAGTTAAGTTTTTCATTCATAATCCTTTTTCGTACTGGCCCGTCTCCTTATTAATAATCTGTTTTTGTTTTGTTTTTTTTTTTTTTTTTTGTAATTTACAACAGCTGCGAACAGCTGACAAATCTGACTTAAGAAGCTTATAGACGATGTTCGAAATATCATCTCAAATTGTCCTACTTTTTGTACAATTTTTTTCAGAAAAAATTGAAATGACTAAAGAAAAGTATAACAATACAAGTAAAATAATACAAGGTAGAGCAGCTTGAGGGAAGCAACAAAAAAGCAACAATGTACGTGTGGCTTCTTCTGCCAAAAATAAAATGAATATTCGCAACAAGTGTTTGTGTTTATTTGACAAAAAAAATTCTAAAATTTACAAATTTTTTCAGAAAAAATGGAGATGACTAAAGAAAAGTATAATAATACAAGTACAATAATACAAGGTCATGCAGCTTAAGGGGAGCAACAAAAAAGCAACTATGTACGTGTGGCTTCTTCTGCCAAAAATAAAATGAATATTCGCAACAAGGGTTTGTGTTTATTTGACAAAAAAAAAAAATTCTAAAATTTACAATTTTTTTCAGAAAAAATGGAAATGACTAAAGAAAAGTATAATAATACAAGGTCGGGCAGCTTGAGGGAAGCAACAAAAAAGCAACTATGTACGTGTGGCTTCGTCTGCCAAAAATAAAATGAATATTCGCAACAAGTTTTGTGTTTATTTGACATTTTTTCAACACAAAACTAAAAACGCGAAAAATGAATGAAAGGTTATGATTTCTTCCAAAAATGCAGTAGGGAATACCTTAAAATGTTTGTTTTATCCCATGGTATAATAATAGAAGGTAACGGCAAGTGTTGTTGTACAACAAACGATACAACAACCACATGGAAATTTGTTTTTGTAAGTAATACTAGTGTTAACGTCATTTGACTGAAAAATGTTAACAAACATACAAATTATCAAAATAATTTTTTTATTTGAAAAATGTAATATTTTCGAATTTATATCAAATTTATATTTCTATCGCTTCCACATCTTTCCTCTAATTGAGCCATTGCCACTTATATGAGTAACACATATGAAAATGCTGGGAATTGCGAGTTATTCCATGAAGAAAGATTTGCTTTATCAAATTTTCCCAGCAGGCAGATTGAGTAAATTGAATATGGGAGGACATTAATAAAGAACAATTTCGAATTTTATGCTAAAAAATTTTCCTGTTGGGTCATTTTTAAAAACATAATTTGTCAAATTCATATTGACACTAGTATAACATTAGAATCAAATCAGCTGGGACTTGCTGTTACCTTTTATAATTGTACCATGGTTTCATCCATAACAAAGTAATTACTTCCAGACGAACGACAATTTATTTTGAATTTATTTGACATTGTATTCAAAACAATACACACATATACACAAAATATGTATTTTGATTTGATTGAACAAGCCACCTTCAGAAAAAAATGTAATCAGTTGGTAGCTGTGCCCCACCTTGAAATAATTATACCATGGTTTTTATACATGTAGGGTGAAGTAAATTTAGTTTCCTACTTATTTCGATATATAGCGTACAAAACAAGAAACAGATGCGGGATAAAAAAATTCTCATGTTTTTTGATATATGACATATGAGTTGAGAAAATATAAACATGTATTAAAAACAACAACATTTTTAGAAAAAAAGGAAAACATGAATGAAAAGTAAATAGCTATGGGTTCTTACTATATTCAAGAGAAAGAGAATAATTTTTTCTATAGATTTCGTTGTAAAAAAAGGAAACAACAAGTTTGATTTCGATGATATGAATTAAGAAAAGTGTTGTATGAACGGGTTAATTCATGTAGGTAATTCTGGAGCGAACTACGTTGTTCGAGTGCTCGTCAGAACATGGTATAATAACAAAAATCAATTATATAGGAAATGGCTTCCAAATCAAAATACATATTTTGTGTATACATATATTAAATTTAATTGAAATTTAAACCATATTCTTTAGCACTCGTCTGGAAAAAATGTCATCGTATTTATGAAACAACTCATGGTACAATTATACGAGGTAACAGCAATACTCAGCTAATTTGATTGTATCGTAATACTCATGTCAAGTTCGATATTTATGTAGAACGACCCAGCAGTAAATTTTTGTACGCACTATATTTTTGAAATAAAAAAGACAATAATACAAATCATGGTACAATTATTAAAAGGTAATAGCAAAACCCAGCTGATTTGATTCTAATGTAATACTATTGTCAATATGAATATGACAAATTATATAAATAAATACGACCCAGCAGGAAAATTTTGTAAGTATAAAATTGGAAATTTTTCTGTATTAAATGTCCTCCCAATTCAATTTACTCAATCTGCCTGCTAGGAAAGTTTAAGAAAGCAAATCTTTCTTCATGGAATAACTCGCAATTTCTAGCATTTTCCTATATGCTACACATATATGTAGCAATAGCTCAATTAGAGGTAAGATGGGGAAGCGATAGAAATATATATTTGATAGATTTTCATTCACGTTTTTCCATTTTACCTTTTATTGTTATACCATGAATATAAATTGAGCTTTACAATATATATAGTCGTAGCTAAACCGAACAATAATAATGAGCTATGGAGGGTAATTTAAGTAGCTTGACTAAAAAGTTCCATGAGAAAAATGTCGAATTAATGTAACGTCGATGTGAAGCAAAAGTTAAGCAACAAAGTATTAATATCCACGATATAATGTATTTTATCTCGTTACAGATGCTAAGTCCTGATTTATATTAGGCTAGTTTACTTGCGGCAATTATTATCGTTCCCTTTTGAACTTGCTCCATGCGTCTATACAAGGCAATTCGGCTTCGAAAATATTTCTTTTTTCATTTGATGTCAATAGTTTTTTTTCACATTTAAATAAATATAAAATGTCAACAAATACGAAATACACAAAACGAATTGCCAGAAAATTGTCGGTACGAGCAATTTTTTTCCACTTCTATTCCCCTTGCCCCTCTCTCCTACAGTCAAACCTAACCTAACCTAACCTTGATATAAGGACCTTAAATGAATTTATGTTATGTATTCATTGCAGCTGCTATTTTTTGACCGACCTCATTTTAAGAATAAATCTCTTTTATAAAATATTTTCAAAAAAATATTTTTTTTGTTCTTATTACATTATTTTGACCGCAGCTGTACAATAACAATTCTCTATGTTGTTGTTGTTGTTGAATTGTATTTTTTGTAGTTTTGCAGTTACCTCGATTTTGGAATCATAACCTTTCATAAATATTTCGCATTTTTAGTTATGTGTTAATAAAATGTCAATTAAATATTAATTTAATTTTTAAACAGAAATTTAATTAATTTAATTTTTGGCAGTGAAAACGATCAGCTATTGTTCCAATAAAGTATTCGTAAAATAGCGATTTAAGCAAAAAGTCTCTTCCAGAACATACAACTTTTTACTACGATAACAATTGGTCTGACCCCGTATTGCAAGAATTTACTATTTTTTGCTACGATAACGCTTTTTTCCTTTATGATATCGAGAAAAAATATTAATAAAAACACGTAGATTCTTGCAGTGCGGGAACATAGCAAATATTTTCTTCACTATATCGAAAAAAAAAATAGTAAAAAATATTCTGTACATTCGCAAGGGAATGATTTCACAAGCGAAACATTTTTCGCTTTAGCCCACTCCCCTTATTTCATAAATCCTAATCAGTTCCCTTAGCTGTTAGAAATATTCTTCCTAGAGTTTATTTGGACGTGACTATGTCAAAACAAAATGCATTGGTATCACAAATAAAAAACCGTCATATCATTTATAGATTAGTTTATTTGTGAATATTTATAAAAAAATGCTTAATATTATTTTAAGTTACTAATGAGAAATGGTGCTGATTCAAACAAAAAAGAACATTACTTTTATGATTAAATTTCATAAGTGATATAGTTATTTTAGGGTTTATCATGATATGCAATACTCAACTCTATTCAACAGTTTAACTTTTTATTGAGATTTTAATTCTTCTTTTTTACGTTGCAATTGACATTTTTGGTAAATCAAATCGCTGTGATCTGTCGACCAAGCAAAGTACATATAAGAAGTCAACATAACGGCCAACAGCAAACGATCTAATGTCATTAGATTTGTGGCCCATAAAATCACTGTCAACCCAACAAAGGACGGATGACGAACATGGGCAAACAGATGTCTCAGTTCGAATGATTTGTATGCCAAAGGCTGAGCATAAGACTTCATATCATAGTAGGCCTATGGAATAAAAAACGTGTGATAAATATTCAACTGAATTCCATTAGAATGAGAAAAACACACAAACCTGTTTAATTCCTATAATTTCTGGCAAATCCATGATCATACTTCCACCACAGATAATCATCCATGCAAATGCATGTAACAAAACGAATGACCACCAAATCCATTTATGAGTGTCAACATCTACTTGCCATAGAATAATTGATGACGCAGTTATCCAATTTTTTATTAAATACTACAACAACAAAAAATCAATATTCATAAATTCAATGAAACAAATAAATACTACCGCTAGTTATACGACCAACATACATGTAAACAAAGCGATGATGTCAAACTATAAATAGACCGCTCAGCCGATGCCAAACCAATCGATTGAAATACATTTTTTATCCAAGAGGATTTCATAAAACTGTGCTGAAATATGAATAGTATCAGATAGAGAGTGTTGAAAACCATGGGTCCATAGGCGGTTTCCAAACGTGATTTATTGTCCAACAAATTAAAGACCCAGGTATAGATTTTGGAAGTTTTTCGGGGCGCTGACAAAAACTGCACCAAATGCGTAACAACATACAAGGTGTACACAAATGATGTAATGGCGATCAACAGAACGATGTATTGTTTAATAGATGCCATTTTTAATCTGCAACTGTTCAGTTATTAATGTTTAAAATTTAATTTTATTTAAAAAACAAAACAATCCGAACAATCCGAGCTTCATTCCTAGAGTTGGGTAGTTCCGGAACGAACTAGTTCATTGGAACTATTCCGAGAAAGGAACGAACGGAACTAGTTCCAGTTCTTTAATTAATATAATTCTTTTCTCTGATCCAGTTCCTTTTTTGAACTATTTGAAGCAAAGGAACTGTATGGAGCAAAGGAACTATAAAGAGCAAAGGAACTATATGGAGCAAAGGAACTATTTGGAGCATAGGAACTATAAAGAGCAAAGGAACTATATGGAGCAAAGGAACTATATATGGAAAAACGAAAAAAAGAATGATGAAAGAGAGAGATTCAAAAGAACTATGTAGGAGTCGGAACTATATGGAGCAAAGAAATTGTATGAACTAAAGGAATTATATGGAGCAAAGGTACTATATGGATCAAAGGAACTATAGAGCAAAGGAACTATATATGGAAAAACGAAAAAAAATAATAAAAGAGAGAGAGATTCAAAAGAACAGTGGGAAGCCTCCAAGACTCCAGCCTTCATAAAATTCGCTTGTTAATCGTCGTTCTGCCAAGACTCAAGCGACGTCGTACGCAAACCTTCGCCAACAAATGGTCTGTTCCAGTACTTTTTATACCCTCCACCATAGTATGGAGGGTATATTAATTTTGTCATTCCGTTTGTAACTCATCGAAATATTCATTTCCGACCCTATAAAGTATATATATTCTTGATCAGGGTAAAATTCTAAGACGATCTAGCCATGTCCGTCCGTCTGTTGTAATCACGCTATCTTCTGAAGGAATTGAGATAGGGTGCTGAAATTTTGCATAGGGTTGTCTTTTGTCTGCAGGCAGGTCAAGTTCGAAGATGGGATATATCGGTCCACGTTTAGGCATAGCTCCCATATAAGGGTACCCCCCAATTTTCGGTATTTTGGGGTTCTTGAGCGCATTTTTCAAGCGAATTTGTAGTAAATGTATCCACAAAAAATTATAAATATAGGTCCACTTTTTCTTGTAGCCCCCATATAACGGTACCTCCTAATTTTCAGTATTTTTTGGGTTTTTATCGTATTTTTCACCGAATTGGCTGTAATTTAGTATTTTGAGTTCTTAGCAGGTACCAAATCTCTCCACAAAAAAATTTAAATATAGGTCAATTTTTTCGGATATCCCCCATATAAGGGTACCCCCCAATTTCGGTATTTTGGGGTTCTTGAGCGCGCTTTTCAACCGAATTCGCTGCAATTTTGTACATTGGGTTCATATTGCGTACCAAATATCTCTACTAAAAATTATAAATATCGGCCCACTTTTTCTGGTAGCCCCCATATAAGGGCACCCCAAATTTTCGGTATTTTGAGGTTCTTAAGCGCGATTTTCAACCGAATTCGCTGAAATTTGGTACAGTGGGTTCATATTGGGTACCAAATATCTCTATTTAAAATTATAAATATCGGTCCACTTTTTCATTTCAAATACCTGTCAGTATACCTGTGGTGGAGGGTATCCAAATTTAACGCTTTTTCACTTGTTTAATAGTAAAGCTAGTAAAATGGAAACATTTCAAGTCTCAGAGTACAAAATAATTTGAAAAGTTCGGGAACGCAAATCTAGTAAATATGCCAAAATTAGATGGCAATACTTCAAAATCAACATAACAAAAAGTTTACAAAGAGAAATCCATTTTGTTTTGTGCTCTCTTAAATTTGATTCAATGCTTTACCAGTTTTATGGGTTCAGGAACGGTTTTCGAGTAAAAAGTTGCAAAACTTGTAAAATTAGTAGATTCTTTTAGGTTCTGGAACGGAGCTAAAATAAAAACGACGACTGAAAAAATTGAAAAACGTTCCACCTGTTAACGAATGGGAGGAGAAGACAAAATGGCCGATAAAGATGAACTCAAAATGGTATAACCGAAAGTTTACGAATGAGGTGGGATGGAGACTAAATGGAAACCGTCTTGTTTACGAATGAGGTTTATGCCATGTACAGACGAGCGTTGTTCGCTCTCTCATTCGTTCGACCCTTAATTATGAAGTAATTACTTAGTTCCCCATACAAAATTGTCTGAGCGAACACCGACTTTTGTACGTTGTTCAATTCGAATCACTCTCTGAATCACCAAGAATTTTGTCCCATCTCTAACAATTGAGAGAATTTATCGAAAATAAATTAATTTTGACAGCAAGAAAAATTTTTTAAATTTTTCAAACTTTTTCAGTAATATTGAAAATGATGAATGAAAAGTAACCAAAATTCTAGTTTTTATATATGCAGAAGAATGTAAATTTTGTTGTCTACATAATGCAATATGCATTTCTTTCCCCTTGGTTCTAATTAGCGTACAAAACAAGAAACAAAAGTGGGGAAACCCAAACAAAAAAATCTCCAAATTTTAGGAGAAGCAAAAAACTGTTTTGAATGAAAACTATAAACATGTCAAAACAAAAAAGTATCCCCGGCAGGGTGATATTGCATATGACGAATAATAGACTATAATTTGTTAAACAAATTTAGTTATTTAGTTTAATGGCAGTCATAACAATTAAGTAAAAACGTGAATTTTTTGTTATTTACGCCTTTTTGCATTTATCAAATAAACCCACTTGTAGTTACGTATTTTTGTTTTTTGTGTAAAACTTTGTCAACACATGTAGTTTATTGACATTCACAATATTCATTCAAAAAGTCAATTTTCAATTTTTTCAAACAAAAAAATCTCCAAATTTTTATTAGTTACGCCTTTTTGCATTTTAGCTAACGATATGTGACATTTGAATTTAGAAAATATAAAAATGTATTGAAAACAACAATATTTTCAGAAAAAATGGAAAACATGAATTAAAAGTAAAGAGATAGGGGTTGATATTATAGTCAGGAGAAAGAGAATTATTTTTTCTATTTAGATCCATATGTGATTCACGCAAATATGTTACAATTTTGGAGTAAAACAAGAAACAAAATATTTGAAATAAAAAAACTCTGATGACATGAATTAAGAATAGTGTTGTATGAACGGGTTAATTCATGTACGTAATTCTGAGAGCGAACTACGTTGTTCGAATGCCCGTCAGAACATGGCATTAGGAAGTAATTACATAGTTCCCCATACAAAATTGTCTGAGCGAACACCGACTTTTGTACGTTGTTCAATTCGAATCACTCTCTGAATAACCAAGAAATTTGTCCCATCCCTAACAATTGAGAGTATTTATCGAAAATAAATTAATTTTGACAGCCTGAAAATATTTATAAAATTTTCAAACTTTGTAGGGTAGATTGGGTAGTTCCGGAACGAACTAGTTCATTGGAACTATTCCGAGAAAGGAACGAACGGAACTAGTTCCAGTTCTTTAATTATTATAATTTTTCTCTGATCCAGTTCCTTTTTTGAACTATTTGAAGCAAAGGAACTGTATGGAGCAAAGGAACTATAAAGAGCAAAGGAACTATATGGAGCAAAGGAACTATTTGGAGCATAGGAACTATAAAGAGCAAAGGAACTATATGGAGCAAAGGAACTATATATGGAAAAACGAAAAAAAGAATGATGAAAGAGAGAGATTCAAAAGAACTATGTAGGAGTCGGAACTATATGGAGCAAAGAAATTGTATGAACTAAAGGAATTATATGGAGCAAAGGTACTATATGGATCAAAGGAACTATATGGAGCAAAGGAACTATATATGGAAAAACGAAAAAAAATAATAAAAGAGAGAGAGAGATTCAAAAGAACAGTGGGAAGCCTCCAAGACTCCAGCCTTCATAAAATTCGCTTGTTAATCGTCGTTCTGCCAAGACTCAAGCGACGTCGTACGCAAACCTTCGCCAACAAATGGTCTGTTCCAGTACTTTTTATACCCTCCACCATAGTATGGAGGGTATATTAATTTTGTCATTCCGTTTGTAACTCATCGAAATATTCATTTCCGACCCTATAAAGTATATATATTCTTGATCAGGGTAAAATTCTAAGACGATCTAGCCATGTCCGTCCGTCTGTTGTAATCACGCTATCTTCTGAAGGAATTGAGATAGGGTGCTGAAATTTTGCATAGGGTTGTCTTTTGTCTGCAGGCAGGTCAAGTTCGAAGATGGGATATATCGGTCCACGTTTAGGCATAGCTCCCATATAAGGGTACCCCCCAATTTTCGGTATTTTCGGGTTCTTGAGCGCATTTTTCAAGCGAATTTGTAGTAAATGTATCCACAAAAAATTATAAATATAGGTCCACTTTTTCTTGTAGCCCCCATATAACGGTACCTCCTAATTTTCAGTATTTTTTGGGTTTTTTATCGTATTTTTCACCGAATTGGCTGTAATTTAGTATTTTGAGTTCTTAGCAGGTACCAAATCTCTCCACAAAAAAATTTAAATATAGGTCAATTTTTTCGGATATCCCCCATATAAGGGTACCCCCCAATTTCGGTATTTTGGGGTTCTTGAGCGCGCTTTTCAACCGAATTCGCTGCAATTTTGTACATTGGGTTCATATTGCGTACCAAATATCTCTACTAAAAATTATAAATATCGGCCCACTTTTTCTGGTAGCCCCCATATAAGGGCACCCCAAATTTTCGGTATTTTGAGGTTCTTAAGCGCGATTTTCAACCGAATTCGCTGAAATTTGGTACAGTGGGTTCATATTGGGTACCAAATATCTCTATTTAAAATTATAAATATCGGTCCACTTTTTCATTTCAAATACCTGTCAGTATACCTGTGGTGGAGGGTATCCAAATTTAACGCTTTTTCACTTGTTTAATAGTAAAGCTAGTAAAATGGAAACATTTCAAGTCTCAGAGTACAAAATAATTTGAAAAGTTCGGGAACGCAAATCTAGTAAATATGCCAAAATTAGATGGCAATACTTCAAAATCAACATAACAAAAAGTTTACAAAGAGAAATCCATTTTGTTTTGTGCTCTCTTAAATTTGATTCAATGCTTTACCAGT